AAAAGCATACAAGACAACAAGGCAACTACAAATGAGAGACATTTTATCTTTCTAAACATAATACCAGATACCCAACTTGCAGATTTGACAGCATTCATAATTCCTTGCTCTCACAATCACTTGGTTACACAAATTCAGGACCTTTGCAGAAAGTAATGCATTTTAGAAAATACAATCCTTTTTCCATGACAGATAACACATTCAATATTTTAAATATTTAGATAATCCAGATCAAATATTAAACAGGTAGTTTAGCACAAGGCACTTTCAAATATGAGATTCTGTAGGTTAAAACTTTCACTTTCCCTTGGCATCAAAGTTTGCAGACAGTTTTTACCTTAGCATCAACACTGAATGCCCTACTGCCCTTTTCCCATCATTCTTCAGAGCATGTGTTATAATACTTAATAATCATCAAAACTCCATCACTAGCTTTTTTTGAATGATGCTGGTGTGCATGCTAGTTTAATACAACTTCTAGCTATCCTTTTGGGCAAAAGACAGTATGAAAATGAAAGAGGTCATCTCTTTAGGAATACTGTAGTTGCCAACAGAAAAGAAAAATATTTTATAGAAGCCCTGAAAATTTATGGATTTTTTAAAATCTCATTTAAGAAGTTACATATTTCACTTATTGCTGTTGCTCAATGAAAATAAAAAGAAATTCTTGCAGAAAAGACTTGCCCATAAATGAGACAGTTGAACAGAAAGAGTTGTGTGTCTATGAGTTATAGTTCCGGACTGCTTATACTCTGCCTTAAAGCTGTGTATTCTTTCTCTGTACTTGTGCAATGCAATTATATTAGAAGGCCCTCTTAAAACTGGGTGATCTATTGGTTTAGGGAGCTAAAGATTAATTCCAGATGTAGTCATGCTCTTCTAGCCCTTCAAAAAGTAACTACTGCACCATCTGTTTTGCAATAGACAATTTCAAAGAGTGCCAAGGGGAATGTTAAATACATTGGTGAGATGGCCACATATACCTCACACGCAGGAATCCTAGAGGTCATAGTGCCTCAGACAGATTCATATTTTCACGTTTTTCTCTCCATTGTTCCATTATGGAAACTCAAGGAACAGTTCTCCTTCCTCCCAAAATAGAAAGGAGATATTTTCCAGATTATTACCAGTGTTGACATGTATGAGGCCAAATTCAGACCTGAATTCAGTGGAATAACTGAAGTTCATGGTGACCTATTTCGTATACCTGCCTGACTCTTAGATCCTTGTAGATTATTCCAAACAGTTCTGGGTTTTGTTAGGGGTTTTTTTTGTTGTTTTGTTTTGTGGTGTGTTTTTGTTTGTTTGTTGGTTTGTTTTCCAGGTAAGGTCAGTAGCAAGAGGCTCCTGCTAAACTGACTTCAGACTTGGCTGGTTGCCCAATACAGATGAAGGGTGCAACAGGTAATGAAGGCTTATTTCAGGTCATGAATGATAATTTTTATTTTTCCTGGGTGTTACAGGAAGCTTGAAATAAAGAAATTGTCTCCATTTTTCTAAACCCAGTGTTATGTATCAATATCTACGTCTCATGTGTATAAAAAGATGCACTCGGGTCTAGCATCAACACGACCTAAATTCTTTACATCAGCAAAACTGCAGCAAAAAACATTCTCTGAATGTTTCCCAACTATAAATCTGAACTTCAGAGCAGTAACTCATGATTTATACCAAACAGTCCTGAGAAAAGGTCTAAAATGAAAACAAAAGGAAACAGAAAATCTGCTAGAAATTAGACAATCACAATCTTGTGCAGTCCTGGAGAGACATTTTATTCCTGAAGTGACATTAGGTAAATCATTGGCAAAAAGAATTAAAGATTAACAACATGTCTTCAGTTCATTCCTCTTTGGTTTTTGCAGCACATCCAGTCATATTTTATACCAATTCTTGTACTAAGTTATTACAAAAGAATCTTAGGACTAGCAGACTACTGTAACCCCTTCAGTTTTTCTGTGTTTGCTGTGGTTCTCTCCATTCAACATCACAGTGCCTTAGACTATAAGCTTAGTGTCTGGGTATACTACAACTACATCTCAAAGTTCAAGGTAAGAAAGTAACTAAGAAAGAAATTAATAGGAATAACAGCTCCTTACCATTCTCTGGAGTATTACTAGAACTGAATTTTCTTAAGCAATTGGCAGTTTAGGTAGTGTAAGGGAATTCCACACATACAGTAAGCACTTTTTCAGTATTAAACATTATTATAACAAGGAAAAGTTGGAAAGTGGAATAGGACACTGTTTTGGACAACTTCATCACAGCTTTGGAAATTAAAGACATCCAAAAGAAATACATTTTGAGAGGCTAATAAACATACTGGTGTGGAAGGATACATACACACCTTACAGCTACAGCAAAGCTGCCATTGTTTAGGACAAGATTTAATTAAAAATAATAGACTCGATAATAATAATAATAATCCTCATTCATGCAAATCAAGAAGTGTAGTTGGCCCACCTCTTGCTCAGCTGATGTTCCTGGATGGTAAGACCTCCAGAATAGAGGTATTTAGGGAGAACTTTGTTTTAGACAATTTTTGTTACACCTCAGCTTAATTCCTTTTTTAAAGAACTTTTAAATACTTCTTAACTGTTTTTGAACATAGTTAATAGATTATAAGAGTCACAAACCCTACTCTATTCCTGTACTTTCCAGGCACAAATTCTGCCTTTAACTAAGTCATATAACACAGGGTTGAAGTCTTATCCACCTTTTGAAAAATACTCAAGAATGGGCTTAGTTGAGACATTTGGTGGAGCTTAAAGAGAGAAAATTCAGAAAATCACTCTTATCTCCTTATTCCATAGTTGTCCTAACTCTACACTCAACCCTAAATGTACAGATAAATACTTCAAAGCTCACTGTTTTCTGGGCTGACAGGCTAATTTTCTGCAGCTGAGCCCAGCACTCCCCCACTTCACTCTAAGGACAGCTGTGGTACATCTTTTGCATGGGAAAAATGTGCCAGCCACTTGCTAGCTACTGGTTGGGTCATACATACCATGTCAGAGTGATCTATTTCATTTAAGATGTATAGATCCAAAATTACACAGCCCAGAGAAAAAAGAAAGCAATTATTTTATTCACTTGACACACACTGTCTTCAGGAGAGTTCAGTTTGTAACAGTAGTTAATCATTCATAAAAGAACACTTAAAAAGTAACTTGTTTTGCACAGTAGAGGATTAAGACACAATGTATGAACTCGTGCAATATACATGCTTGGCAGAAACAATTGTATTTCTATCATACATTTTTTAGAAAACGTTATAACCTTACCGCTTTTACTTGCACTGTGTTAGTACCTCAGAGGCAAGAATTACTACACAGAAAGATCTGTTTCCTTTCTCAGCCATCTTTTGTAGTTATATGAGGACTTTTTTTTTTTTTTTTTAACGTTGATGCATCCAGCAAGGATGGATGCTCACGTACAGAGAAGGGCAATGAAGCTGGTGAAGGGACAGGAGCACAAGTCATATGGAGAGCAGCCAAGGGAGCTGGAGGTATTTCGCCTGGTGAAAAGGAGGCTCAGGGGTGATCTTATTGCTCTCTAGAACTGCCTGAAAGGAGGTTGTAGCCAGGTGGGGGATTAGTCTGTTCTCCCAAGTAGCAAGCGACAGGACAAGAGGAAATGGCCCCAAGTTGTGCCAGGGGAGATTTAGCTTAGAGATAAGAAAAAATTTCTTCACTGAAAAGTGGTTAGGCATTGGAACAGTCTGCTCGGTGAAGTGGTAGAATCATCGTCCCTGCAAGGGTTCAAGAAATGGCATCCAGGGATATGGACCAGTGGTGAACACAGTGGTGATGAGTTAATTGTTGGACTCCTGTGTAATCTCAGAGGCCTTTTCAAACCTTAACTATTCTATGATTCCATGACCACCTGCACAAATAACAATTACCAACCACAAATACTGTGTCAGTGATAATGACTTCAGAATTCTTTCTGACTGAATGAGCACCTCCATTATCATTTAGAGGTTAGAGGTGTCACCAGACAAACACTAGAGAAACAACTCTGGCCACCTACTGGAGTGGTTTCTGGACACAGTTGTGCCCTGTAAAACAACTTCTTTGTGTCTCTCGGCAGCATGCCACTGTCCCTCCGTGAGAGCCAATGTTCGCTAACCATCTGTCCTTCCACAGAATCACCGCATATTCGAAGATGAAAGGGACTCACAAGGATCCTGGAGTCCTACTCTTCAGCTAATGGCCCCGGTGGGGATAGAACCCGTGACCTTGGTGTCATCAGCTCCACGCTGTCACTGATGGCAGAGGCGCAGCTGTCCCCCGGGACGCCCAGGGAATCGCCACGCTGGAACAGGCCCTAACCCTGAAATCCCGTGCCAGCACTATGACGAATCCGTGGCTTTCACACGCGATACACACGTGCCATGTGCGTTTTGTGGGTGTTTAACACGGGGCAAGGCCGTGGACGCGCAATGTTTGCAATCAGTCGGAACCCCGATGCACGCGGGGGGTGCGAGTCCATCCGAAAATCCGGCTCGTAAAGCCCTGTCCCCAAAACAGCAAGCTGAGTCTGGGGGCAGAGCCGCGACCTCTCACCAACCCCCCCTCCCACCTGCGGCAGCCTCCCGCGCGGGGCAGGCCCCGGCGCCAGGGCCGGGCCAGCGGAGCCGGGCCGCGCTGAGCGCAGCTGGGCCTCGGCGCTCCCGGGCAGGCCGCAGGGGGCGGGCCGGGCCCGGCGCAGGCGCCGCCCGGGGCTCGTTGCGCAGGGCGGATCGGCCCGGGACGGCGGCTCCATGCGCTGCCAGGTAGGTGCAGCTTGCTGGAGCCCCGGGGAGCGGCGGCGCGGCCGAAGCCGGGAAGGGCGGCGGGGCTCCCGCGGCCCCTCGGCAGCGGCGCCGGACGGGTGAGGCCTGGGCGGGGGAGCGGGGCGCGGGTCCGCGGTCACTCACCGCCCCCTCCGCCTCCCCGCACCCCCGTCTGTCCCCGCTCTCCGGACGGCCGGGACAGGAGGTCGGCACCGAGAAGAGCCTGGGAAAGCTTTTCCCGGGGCTCTGGTTCCGGCCGCATGTGGGTGGTTTGTCTGGGGGCGGCCCGGCGCTGTGAGCGCTGTCTGTTCCCCGAGCAGGTCTCCGTGCTGTATTTCGCCCGGAGCGCGGAGCTGGCGGGGCTGCGCAGCGAGACCCTCTCGGTGCCACAGCAGATCACCTCTCTGCAGCTCTGGGAGGAGATCGTCAAGGCCCACCCCAGGTACCCAGCAAGTTACCAATGAGGTGCACAAAACCCGTGGTTGAATTTTTTTCTTTTTTTTTTCTTTTTTTTTTTTCCCCTTTGTTTTGGTAAATACAAATTCGACATTTAGAGGCTAGTTAGAATGTGTGGCAGTACTTTGACAGTGCAAAACTACTGACCTGCACCAAGCTTGCTTTGTTTTGCACAGTCAGAAAGACTGTAGGTTTATGTATACACAAGGAAAGCCCAGGTCTCCATAGCAGATGTACCCAAAAGTTGAGTCTGAGTGGTACACGTGGCCCATTGTCCAGGAGAGCTGTGTTGCGGTAACCTGAAAACTGAACTATATTTATTAACCTATGGAGAAGGTGAGATGTCTCAAGGATCAAGCACAGCCAGGACAATAAATGGTAGTGTACAGGTGTTTTCAGTCACTTAGGTTCAACATGATGAAGAAATTATTCACAAAAGGGGTGATTAGGTATTGAAATAGGCTGCCCAGGGAGGTGGTGGAGTCACCAACCTTGAAAGTGTTTAAGGAAAGACTGAACATGGTGCTCAGTTCCGTGGTGTAGTTGACATGGTGGTGTTTGGTCAAAGGTTGGACTTGATCTCAGAGGTCTTTTCCAACCCAACTGATTCTGTAATTATCTTTAGCTGTACAGTTAGCCATTGGTCTTATCTTATGGCATACTCTGGAAGACAGATCAGGAAGGAAACTGAAGCCCGCACAGGCTTCTAAGCCACTCAACCCTGCCTGACACAAGAAGTAGATTTAGACACTTTCAACCTCCTCTGTTTTGAAAGATGCCACTGTCGGTTGCATTTCACAGGGAGTCTGGTCCTGGGAGAGCTTTGCGTTTGTGCTGTAAGGGCTTCTGCAACACTGGTGCTCCTTGGGGGTGTCAGCAGGAATGTCACCTCACATTAGGGCTAAGGAAAGGTGCTCAGTTCTGACAAGAATGAGTCTGATAGACTAAGTTGCAACACCGTTTTTGAAAGGTAAACAGAAAGGGGTAAAAAAAGAGTAAGGTTTAACAGGTTGAGGTCCTCAGGATTTAGTGCTGAATGCCCTGGAATTTATGTAACCCTGGAATTAGGTGTCAAGGCACAACCCTTCTTTAGCTGATTACTCTAAAAGGCTGTAAGAATAATGAACTAATGAACAATGGTATCTGTTTCTAGGTGAGAAGCAATAACAGAATGCTAGACCAGGGGCCTTCTCTCAGAAAACTGAGACTAAATGTGTTTTGGGGGAGGAGGCAGTAGGGCATGCGTTTATTTTGCTTTGCAGCCTATTCCTCTCTGTCAGAGGTATCAGCAGCACCATTGGTTGGTTTGCCATATTTTGTCAACTTTGTCCTTTTATGAATGATGACTTGGGGCAGTACATCTTGCATTTGCAGTTACTTCACAGTGGCCTTCTAGAAAAACGCTTCTGTTCCTTGCTTTTATGGAAAAACTCAGTATAATTTTAGGGCACTGACCACAGACTTCTATTTCCGTTGCTAATGGATATTCAAACTGCAGCTTTAGCATACTTGACAGCGCTCTTCTGTTCCACCCATTTTCCCCAATGAATTTGCTTACAAGTGACATTAATTAGAGCCCATCCTTCTAACGGGCACTTCGGTTGCATGGGTATGCCCAGTTCTTCAGTGACTTGCTTTACTTTCATGCAGTCTCTTCCTTCAGTTTGCCCTCTGAGTCAGAGCTACTGTATTTTGCTTAGTCTGTGCCTTGCCTACTTTGGTCTGTCTGGCTGGTAGGAAATAAAATGATTTTTACTTGTTCTTGCACCATATAACATAAAATGTTGGCATTCTTTTTCCTGGTGTCTTACTGCCATTGCCTTCATGCCTGCTGTGTAATTGCAGTCATTAAAGTCATGAAAGTGACTCTCTGCCTCATGATATCCAGAGCTGTGGACTCTCACATCAACATCTCAAAGATGTGAAATCAAAAAATTTTTAGAAGGTCTGCCAGAAGACACATCACATCTGCCCTCTTATTTCTGTGGCCACTCCTTACCAATAGCCGATTTCAGACTCATAAGTGCAAAAGACCCAAAGCCTCATGAACTCTGAGCACACACAACAAGAGCAACTCTTTGACCACTGAGTCTTCATGGGATCTCATTAACATCCCTGAATGCTTCTTGGTTTGTAAGAAAATTGCTCCAGTCCTTTGAGACTGTATCAGGGCAATATTTACTTCTAATCCCAGATTGGATGGTTGCTACCTCTTGAGTTGCTTTATTACAAGCTGCTGCAGTGGGTCTGATATACATTGGTTCATTCTGATACAGGCCTATGAGAAATCCAGTTCCTGACTTTTGAAAATTATGCTGAGTTTGTTTCTCCTTAGCCTCTACAAGAAAACTGAAGAATAGGAGGTGGGTGTTTGTTGTATTTTTGACAGTGTCTTGGAAGCAAAGTTGTGTAAGTCTCAGTGGTTTTTACCTCAGTTGCCCCAGACTGTGCACCAGTTTGTTGTTTAATGAAATCTCATGCATAAATGCAAACACTCTATTTAGAAACCTATTTGTGCTCCTGCCAATCCCCCTCAGGCTTGCTGTCATCCGGGATCAAGTGGTTTTTGCTGTTCGGCAGGAATACGTGCTTCTTGGGGATCAGCTCCTGGTCCTGCAGCCCGGAGACGAGGTTGCTATCATCCCACCAATTAGTGGAGGCTGAATCTGCCCAGATTCTGTTGGGTAGGTATCTTGCTTAGTTTCTATGCTACAGAGCATAATCCTGTGCTAAAATAATCTCCTGAATTCTGTATGATGTTCCAATAATCTTTTTTTGTTTAGGTCCAGAAATGTGATTGCCATTCTCTTCCTCCATCCCAGTACTATTTTGAGAGAGCCTAACGTGTGTTTCCATCTGGAGAGTACAGTTGTGCTGACCAGAAACTACAAGCCAGTGCACCAGTAAATGATTAACACATATTCAGTAAATGGAAGACAATTCCCGGAGAGGTCAGGCATTGTTTTGAATTTGGGTTTTAGGTCTTGGTACTCCTAGCTTGTTGTTTCTGGCTACCAGTAGATATTTGGCTTAACTAAATAAGATAATAATGAACAATCTTCTACCACTTTTTAACAGAAAAGATAAAACAGAAAAATAATTGACTGCTGCTTAAAATTTTTGTTTGTTTATTTTTTTGCTGTTAAAGGAACAGGTGTGCTTAGAATAGCGTAATTTCTTTGCCTGGTTTCAAGTGCCATTCATATTCACTGCAGCTTATTCCATTGCTGCTGCTCAAAATACTTCTCATTCTCCTCATTCTTAGGTGATCTGATGATTGGTTTCTACTCAGAAAAGTTAAAAGCGTCTCTATTGTGACTGAAACAGATAGATGCTGTGTGGTCCTGAATGTCCTAGAGAGCATATTCAACTTTAGGATTAGAAATCTAATCCATGTTTATCAGAAACCTCTGTTTTAAACTGTTTGATTTCAGGATAAGAAAGGTAGGAGGGGCTGACAATATGACTGCAGATTTATCAGCACTACACGGTGGTCCATGCTGGTTGATTGTATTATTAAACCATGGCCTCAGACTAATTATAGTTTTGTCCCATTGTACCAGACTTTGCTGTCAGAAAGGAACATGTATACATTAAAAACCAGCTCACTGCTCGATATTTGCAGTTAATATTCTCTCTGTGAAACTGATGAGAAGTGAATTTGATGTGTAAACTGGTCTCTCAGGGGAATAGATGGTGCATGTTTTCTGCATAAATTAGATAAAAAGCAGTTGGCTGATGCTAGTATCTTCAGAAACAACAACAGAGTCTGCTTGGTTTCAACTTTTCTAGTGAGATATGGATGAAAGTGAAGATGTGCCAAAAGATTTTATCAAGCTCAAGTCTGCAAAGCTCTCTGTAGATGAAGTGTCAGAGCTGGTCGTTTCACCATACTGTGGGGCAGTGTCTCTGTTCATTGGTAAGTTTAATATTTATGAGCTGGATCTATGGGTCTGTTAATGGTCTAATAAATGGAATGTAGTTTGTCCACATCCTAGACTTGTGCTTCTCAAATAAATCAATTCCTGGTCTGAACGCAGGATGTTTAGAAAATATGTTCTGAATTATTAGAGCAAGACTATGGCAGCTATTAAACAGCTGCACTGGGATTAAGTGGTGAGAAGTTTTTATGTTGGTATGGCTATCCTAGGACTGAATGGAGCAACACTTGAGTACAGAACTGCTTGGGAGGTGTTCTCTCTATCCTCTTGGACACAGCTTGTTCAAGGTGTGAACAAGCATAGAATATTGTGGCTATGCAAATCACATGCCCACACCTAGTTCTGCAACTCAGGTCTTAGTTGAAAGTGAAGTACTGTTTTATCCACGAGCTGGTGAAGGTAAGGTGATACTCTCTCCTATGCTTAATGTGCATGGCACACATCTGAAATGCCTTTGTGCTTAAACCTGAATGCTACTGGGCTTCTAAATACTGAGCATTTAAAAATTGCATGGGCAAGTGCAATATAACAGCACCTTAGCAGTTACCACAGAAGATGTTCCAGCCTTGAGCATTATGGACTCTGGGCTTGTATAATGTGTAAACTAAATTATTCCTTTTATAGTAAAGATTTATCTTGTTCAAATAATCTCTTTATGCAGCCATATTTAAGAGAGATTGTTTATATTGGCACAGTGCTGACCTTGACCATAGCAAGAGATCCTAGGTTTTACTCAGTATTAATACATTATATATTTTATGTAATAAATACCTAGTATATATTATAAAGATACAATATATATTTATTTACTCAGTGCTTTTGGTTGATAAATCATTTTTATCTAGGTACTACAAGAAACAATTTTGATGGGAAAAAAGTGATTCACTTAGAATATGAAGCATATACTTCAATGGCAGAGACTGAAATAAAGAAAATCTGCAGAGATGTAAGACAGAAATGGCCTTCAGTCAAGCATATTGCAGTGCACCATAGACTTGGGTATGTATGTCTAGACCCCATCATTCTGTAAGTGGAATATTAATCCTTGTCTGGTACATGGCAGTGCTTACATAGTTGCAGGACCTGCAGGAGTATTTGGAAACTGTAATGCAGTGTGTATTGGTAGTGTTTGCTGGAGTCCCCATTTAGCCTTGTAGGATCCTTGATGCTGGTTTCATGTTTTGAAAACTGGGAGAAGGGATTGTAATTTCACCCTGGAGAAGGGGAGGCTGGTGGTTTGTTTTGTCTTTATTTCTAAAAGATATGAAGTTGTCAGCACTTTTGTTCTCTCTTCTATGGAGGTGCTTCAGAATATCCTCGTTGTCAGATTTAAGTCAATTTATGCTATAAAAAAATCTGCAATCTTAGGCTATGGGGACTGAAGAGGCACAGTAATTGCGAGACGTGCTTGCAGGAGAACCTCCTGTTTTTGAGTCTTGGATAAGCTTTTTTCCTTAGGTTCAAAACATGGAATACTAGTATCTGACATACTCTTGAGCCCTCCCTGTTCATCAGGTTTCTCATTGAAATTAGTAGGATTTGCAGAGTCTGAAGGAACTTCGGAGGTGATCGCAAAGGGTAAGATAGAAGGTCTGAAGGGTAGTTTCCTTAGATTTCCTCTATAGCCAACAGAGACAGTGGCTCTCTTGAGGACAGTTCAAAGCATTTAAGCTGAGATTTCTTCCTGTGAACTGTTTGCTGGAGGAGTCTTGCTATAGAGGGAGAGCTGGGAGGCAGCTTTAGGGAATACTACCATTGTGAGGAGCAAAACAAAGCCTTGTGCTTCTTCTGTTAAGTTTGGAAAACAACACATTGAATAGTAAACTTCAGAATTTAAAATCAGAGTTCACCAAAAATTAAGTTTCATTGCAAAATCTGCATAGTGTGAGGCACTTAATTTCTTCTGTCACAAATTCTTGTGCAAACTGAGATGATTTCTTAGGTTTCCAGATAAGAACTAAGTGTTCTGACTTGTTATTGTTAATTATTTAGCCAGCTTTCAGTGAGTTTCCTATGTATTGTTGCAAGTTAACAATTTTCCCCTCTTAACTCCATAGGCTCAATTTAAAAAAAAGAAAGAATGGAAGAAAAAAGCTTATGTCTGTTGGGTTTATTTATTCTAAAGTGTGGAATTTTAACATCTGGTACTGATTTTGGTTGTGGTTTTCTTTCTTTTAAAAAGTGTATAATCTTTTGGACGTGGTTTGACACTTGCTCAGTATGAATGAGTCAGGAGAGCATGTGGCCAGAACACTGACGTGACATGGCCACAACTTTTGGGTGCTCTTGATGTTAAGTGTTAGCTAAAGCTGCTGTTGTTCTCTTCTCTCCCTAGTGTGGTTCCAATAACTGAAGCAAGTGTAATTATTGCAGTCTCCTCTCCACACAGAGCAGAATCCCTTGAAGCTGTAAAGTACTGCATCAATACCTTAAAAGCGTCTGTACCAATATGGAAAAAGGTACGTTTGGGGTCAAAGTTGAATTTAGACCTCTGCTGATCTTAGACATCTGGGCTATCTAAGAAGCACTACAGGCCGCAGTTGCTCTTGATGGCTTGTCAGTGTCTGGCAGCAGTGAGTTTCCTCTAATACAGCCAGGCTCACACGTGGCATGTAGAACATCGGGAAGGCTCTCCTGTATCTCTCCCATCCAGCTCCTTTTCCTTTTGAAGCCAGCCTGGGGTCAAAGTGAAGGAGACCTGCGTTCTCCTCTTTTGAGTTGCAAAACTCAGTTTTTCACAGGATTGTGGAAGAACTTTGAGTCAGCCATGCAGTTCTCAAGTAAAAGGAGCATTTCTTGTCTTTCTCTTTTTCCCTCATTACTGTGGCCTTGAGAAAGCGCAAAGCATTAAGCAATAGCACACGATGGGATGAACAGAGGTCCCAGAGTTGGTATGGGCACACAACACTGTGTGGAGAAATTAGTCCAGGTCTAGAAAGAACCTCATTGTATAACCACAGTGTTGCATATAATGAACATTACCTCTGCCTTCTCTCCCAGGCAGATCTTGCCATGTGGTCAGCAGTGTTGTTATCTTGATTTTATGTTGTCTGTCACTTTTCTGACACCTCTTTCAGGAGAGAAGTAATCAGGGTCTCAGAGCCCTGCTGAATTTTTTTTTTGATATTGACATTCTGTACATGTAAATACTTTTCTTAAAATGATGGTACAGTAGGTACCACATGAGTGCTGTGTACTCTACAGCTTTTACATCATATCTTCTAGATTTCTTTGTTGAATTGACTTCAGTATAGATGGGCCCTTTTAAATTTAATGAGTATCAGCCTGAGGTTCAGCTAAGTTCGTATATTCTAAGGGTGCTGCCCTCTTTTCTGCTTGCCAGCCAAGTGCTGTGTAGTCCTGTTGTGATCAGTAAATAATAGTGGGTTGGCTGTTGAGTTATTTGGCATGGCCTGTGGCTGTATGTAGCAGATTCTCACAATATTGCCCATTCTTTGTTTATATTTGCAGGAGATTTATGAGGATGAATATTCTTGGAAAGAAAACAAGGAATGCTTTTGGGCAAATTCAGAAAAATAACTGTACTCTTTTGAAAATAAAGTGTTACTCTTCCTAATGAGCATATTTACCTTTGAGTGGTTTTTACAGAGAATCTATGTGTTTCTAAGCAGTTATAATAGATGTTTGAATAATTTCATTTGGACTGAGTGATATGAATGAGTATTAATTAGGGTTTTAAAGTGTTCTTGACTATCCTTTGAAATCACCCTTTTGTGCATTTTAACATGGAGGCAGTTTTTAAAACAATCTTCCCTAAAATTCTTGGTAGCAAGGTATTTAGACTGCTCTGTGATATATACTACTCTACTGTTTTTACATTGGTAGTCTGTGTCCTCTGTCTGCATGGGAGGTCACTGCAGGACAACCGCATTTTTTTTTAATCTTAAAAATGTCCTGACAGGTTTAATTTTATATGACTGTAGAATCAGTTTGCAAGCTTTATTCTATTTTGACATTCTTGTAACATGAAAGCTACTTGAAGTAGATGAAATATTTTGGTACAGATGAAGAAAATACAAACTATGCCCCAGAGTTATTAACTTTTTAGTAGTGGTTATGTTCCAGTAGGTCTGTCTCACAGAAACATTTTTACTGTGCAGCTGATACTACAAGTCTATTGCATTAAAAAAAATATGGACAGACCTTGATTCAAAATTAGATGTAATACTCTACCAGCAACAAACTTGCATTAGCAATAACATGCCAACCTGTAACTACTTAATGATGTCTAGACATAATTAATTTTGAAGGTGATTCTTGGCTGTGTAATTGTATGGCTGCAAGAAAAACCCCCCACCTATTATTACAAATAGATAACTGTAGTGTAATTAATTTTAGTAATTGGACTTTATATGTGTTAGGATTAGAAGTCATTAAAAATGAGTAGTTTTTCAAAGAAAAGTGAGTCTATTGAACTTACTACAGTCCATATATGCATTTATATTATGATTTAATTTTAATTCAGTTTTTCTCTTATTACGGTTTTGAAACCTGTTTAAACCAACTGACATAATATGCCTCTGCTTCCACTGGAAACAATGGTCTGCCTATTTGAGTAAGGTAATTTTATTTATGTTATTGTACTGTGCCATATAGCATTTAGATGCTAATCAAGATCCAATTGTGTATGGCCTTTTTTACTAATGGTGAGAGGCATTTTTATCTAGTCATCATTATCAGTGTAAATGAGAGATACAAGGGAAAGGAAATAATGTAAAGTAAAATTATTTGCTCAGTTTGCTCTTGTATCATATATAGTTATAAATCCTCCAGGTGCAAGGTCATGCTCCTGAATCAGGGCAATCCCAAGCACAAGTATAGGCTGGGTGGAGAATGCATCAGGATCAACCCTGGGGAGAAAGGCTTGGGGGTGTTTCAAAGCAAAAAGCTCAATATGACCCGGCACCGTGCGCTTGCAGCCTAGAAAGCCGTGTCCTGGGCTGCATCCAAAGCAGTGTGGTCAGCAGGTCAGAGGAGTTATTCTGTCCCTCTGCTCTTCTCTGATGAGATACCACATGGAGTACCCCAACAAAAGAAGGATGTGAACCTGTTGGAATGCATCCAGAGGACGGCCACTAAGTTGATCAGAGGATTGGAGCATGTCTTCTACTAAGACTGACTGAGAACTGGGGTTGTTCGGCCTGGAGAAGGCTCCAGGGAGACCTTATAGCACCTTCCAGTATTGAAAGGGGACTTAAAAGAAGGTTGGAGTGGGACTTTCCACCAGGGCATGTAGTGATATGCAAGGGGCCCTAAGCTGAAGCAAGGGTAACTTTAGATTAGATATAAGGAAGAAATTCTTTACTGTGAAGCTGGTGAGGCAGAGAAGTTGTGGATGCCCCATGGCTGGAAGTGTTCAAGGCCAAGTCAGATGGGGCTCTGAATAACCTGGTCTAGTGGAAGATGTCTCTGCTAATGGCAGAAGGGTTGGAAATTAATGATCTGTAACCGAAACCGTTCTGTGACCATTACAGGACAGACTACTGAAGCCTCAGCTCTATAATCTGCTTCATTGTGTCTGCAGTAAAAATCTACAGCAGCTGCTGGTTGCACAGAGTAAAATGAGGAAAGCAGGTGATCTTTATTTCCTCAGGGATTTCAATCAGTTTTAATACTTAGTTACTGTATCTAAATTAAGTAAACCATAATGAAACATACAGCTTCAGGCAGAAACATCGGTAAACTCTGCTTATCAACTTAGTGATGCACTTTCCTCAGTGGAAGTGAGTCCATCCTCTGCAGGACAGCAGCTACTCCTTGCGTGCTTACATATACACACCCTACAAACCATGTGGGCCCTATTATCTAGGCAGAGCTGAGCAAGTTCAAGATTGAGTTTTCCTTTGTTTTGGAGGTTGGAGAGAAGCCCTCTGCTGTTTGAATGTCGCTTTTACTGGCAATTGTACAGAATCTTGAGCACAGATCACTTCCTCTGTCAAATAATTCTTTTTCTCTTTAGAAGAGAAAGAAATAACATGACCTTTACCATTTTTAGTGTTCAGTTTTCCATGTTCATGTTTGCTGTTACCATGCAACTAATTAGTGTATTAAGTTCACAAAAATAAATGTTTAGCTTGTCCTTTAGTGGATGTTTTATGAATGAAGTAAAACCTATGCAGTGCTTGCATACTGCTGCTGTGCTCAGATAGAGAGAAATGGTCAACTTCTACTAGGGGCATTTCATGTGTTGCCCTAGCGCCTCTCTAGTGCTGCAGTGTCCTGGAAGATTTCTCCAGGGTGACCTTAAGTGCACCTTCCCCATCAGCAATGCAGCTGTGAAGGAGGGTGCAGAAAAGAAGAGAGAGAATAATTGTGTACTTCCCCACAGTGACCAGGAACAATGAATGGAAGAGATGTTGTACTGAGTCACAGCTGAGTGTTACAATGTGTGTATGCTGCCTTGGTAAAAACAATGAAATGTCATTTTGTGTCCCTAGCTGTGCATGAGGCAAGTACTGCTTTGTTCTGGAACAATGATGTATCGATCTTGTGTAACTTTGGGTTCTTCAGCTGGCATCTCAAAGCAAAATGGAAATGCCTCTAGGAGTGATGTTGTGCATAATTAAGAGGTAAAATGTATCTTGCTGAAATTTAAGTCCATACTCCAAACTCAGTGTTCTGTCTCCCTCTGTAGGGCTACCCTTTCTGCTAGGGCAGATCATTGTGTTCTAAGGTAGCTGCCTAAGGCTATATCTGGAGCAACCCAGAAGTGTTTCCAAATTTCCAGGCCAGAGGATGAATCCCAGCTGTGTCACAGTGTATATTAGGGAAAAATGTGGCTGCACATGTCCCACTATCCATACATGCAGGACTACACTGCTGGGTGAAGGCTACTTTGTCTTATGGGTAGGTCCACTGAGTGGGATGATAGGCAGCTGCAGTTAAATATACAAGGAAGTCCCAGCTTTCTGAAATGAGTCCAGGCGCTTCTCTGCCTTGTCTACAGGGGAGGGTAATGCCACTCCCTCTGTGACTCTACCAGGTGTGTCACATTAGTTGCTCCGGTGCAGAGAGATGTTCCCAGGAGCAAATGCTGCAGACCAGAGGGTCATTATGTGATTCTTGTAGAAATCTGCCAGATGAGGGTTGTCTGTGGAAGGGAAGTGCATTATCTTCAGAGCATGAATTTTTCCTTAGAAGATGTCTTAGTCTTGGCTGACAACATTTGAATATACTGATCCATCCCTCTGTCTATCTGAACATCCGTATACCAGCCTTTAAGAGTTTCCTTTCCTGATTTTGATCATTCTACTCTGTTCTCAAGAGGAGCTCGGCCTCATGCATACAATGAAAACAATACGCAATGGATTGCCATAAAATAGCTGTGTGGGGGAAGGGGGCTGTGTTATAAGGCGCCTACCCAGGAGATGGCAGCCGAGAGATGGCTGAGTGGGCAGAGCGGGCCCTGGTCTGCACAGGTGCTAGGCTGTGCTGGGAAGTACAGGCCCTTGCTTCGGCTGTTATTCATGGAAGTGCCATTGTTGCTCTCAGGAATGAAGCCTTTAGATTGTTCAACTTTAAACTAGATTTTTGTCATTTCAGCTCACTTTTCCCACAGCTTTTCAAGTAATTTGTAGCTTCATAGACTAGCACATTCATTTGCTCCTTCAAAAACATTGAAAGAACTGCTAAATCTAATTATTAACAAATCGTCTGTGAAAGCAGACAGTGCTGCCCTTTGCTCTTAAAATGCTCTGAAAAACTCAGCCATGAACCTTTCTATTAACTGTCCTGTCGAGGTGATGGAAGAGTTCAGAACAGGCTGATGACTATAAATTACTAATTTCTTTGATTACCCTAGGCCTTTTTTCTAAAAAACAAAGCATAAAATTGACCTTCTCAAGTGTTAGCATCCTGATGTATCTTTATAGCAGTTCTCTTTTAAATGTTCCATTTCAAGTATTTTAAGAGGCAAACATTTTAAAACCTGCTAGCATACCAAAGCCTGTGATTCCATACAAATAATTCACCATAAATGAGAACAGAAAGGTTGACTTTAAAGATAGGACCCAAGTGCTCTGAGGCAATGAAAATGTACACTTAATTACCTTTAAAGGCAATAAAAAGTTGAGGCAGTTAGCTATGGATTTTGAGAGGCATTTTCATACCTTCATTTTCTTTATAACTTGCAAGCTTTTGCTGTAACTCATTTTTGGATGTAAAGTGTAAAATACCCTGGGCTGTAACCCCAGTCAGCAATCCAACCCCACCCAGCCACTTGCTCACTCTGCCCCTTGTGGGATGGGACAGAGAATAAAAAGTGTAAAACAGAAATCTTGTGGGTCAAGACAAAGACAGTTTAATAAGGTAAGTTAAAAACACTCATGCAAGTAAAGCAAAACAAGGAATTGATTCACCACTTCCCATCGGCAGGCAGGTTCAGCTGTCCCCATGAAAGCAGAGCTCTGTCATGTTTAACCATGGCTTAGGAAGACAAATGCCATCATTCTGAACACCCTGCCCTATCTTCTACTTCCCCCAGCTTTATTTGCTGAGCATGACACCATATGGAATGGGATGGGATATCCCCGTGTCTCCTCTCAAATTTTTGTGCAGCCCCAGCCTCCTTGTAGGAGGGGTGAGGAGCAGAATAGGCCTTGGCCCTGTGTCAGCACTGCTCAGTGATAGCTAAAACATCCCCATGTTATCAGTACTGTTTCCAGCACAAATCTAAAACACAGCCTCATATCAGCTACTGCCAAGAAAACTAACTCTACCTCAGTCAAAAGCATTTTTTAAGGAATAAAGCATATTTAAGGAATCTGGCTTTTAATTTTGCGTAACACTGAAACTTGGTGAAATACAGAGTTTTGTGCCTTAAGATTAGGTTTGTCTGGTATTGTGTTATGGAAGTGTTAAAGTTGGTAGCCTACCTGAAAGTTTATGTACTGTTGTTAAAAGTATGGAGGAGTTGAAAGTGGAAATAAAAAGCTCTGTGAAAGAGGCTAATTTTCAAGTGGTACTTACTGACAATACCATCTTCTATCTTCTTTCTATTAATAGCCAAGTTCCTCCCTCTCTTCCTTTGTCACATTGTTCCTGCTGAAATGTTGAATTCAGCTTTTCCAGGGTATGGTGGGGAGTGGCCAGAGTCAGGCATGACATGCTACTGCTGACCAGTTCTGTAAATAGCAAGAAGTGCAAAGACTGGCAGTATGTCATACAATTTTAGATGCCAGTGATGATAACCCCGTGTTTATAGGAAGGCCTATCTGTGGTACTGTTTTAACACCATCTATTCAACTAGAGCTTTTCAAATATTTTACACTAATTTGAGCTGATTTACACTACAATATAGTTTACTGATAGTGTTATACTCCTGGCTATGATCTACAAGACTTCCAAGTCCAGCTTCTCTGTATAGCTAGCAGAGTAATCTCTCTTAGGATTCTCACTGTATGCACTGGAACAAAGACACTTGGCTCCATTTTATGCGGTGCTTTTTTTTTCAGTAGCATTGCTTTGCTTTAGGGTGCTATTTAAAAATAAATGAGTCTGTGTTCAGCAGTAGTCTTGGTTTTATTGGAGTAACGCTGTTAGGCCCTCAGAGAGGCATCATAGTGATACAGTCCCTGCTCCCATAGAGCTTACATACTAGCTTTTAGAAGTCAACATTATTATAAATTCTCTTGTATATCTCAAATTTATACATAGGCTCATATGAAACCAACTCTGATTTTGGACTTGATTCTAGTACTTCAGGAAATCAGCAGCTAGATTTCAAGACCAGAATCAGATGCAACTTGAGTTTGCTGAATGTATTGCTGACTTTTCTTGCTGCAAGCACAAACAAAAGCACATGCTAAAGCTCAAAATTTCAGAATATTTAAAACATGCTGTTTTAAAAAAGTAATCTTAAAAAAAAAAAAACCTTGCACACACAATACAAGATATACATAATATTTCCAGTATTATTTGCAGCTGTGCCAACTTAAAAGTGCAATAGACTCACCATCACAAAAACTGAATTAGCCACTTAAGTATTAATTGTAAAAGGAAAATAAACTAACACCTTGAAGTGGTTAGGATACAAAAAAACTCTTGTTTCCAGGTTGGGGGGAAAATCCTGTTGTCTGGGTCAAAATAAAACCCAGTGAAGACTAGTGAACTGAATCCTTGCTACCTGGCTGATAAACTGTTAAATCCCCAAAGAAGTTGCATGTTGGATATTGACCTGTACCTCCCACCGAAGGCGGAAGAAGGAAATCTGACTGAATTTCCCTTGAAGGCAGCACTGCAAATGAAACATTCTGCCATCTGGTGCATTGTGAAATTCCCTCTCTGCCCTGAAGTGCATGACCCTGATTATGTAGGAACTTCCCACATGTATGGCTGTACAGTTTGTTTTCTTCCACAGAAGTTTACACAAGAATTGAGGCAGACAAATTTTTATCTTTACTTTCTGAGCATTTGCCCTCAAGGTTTATAATTAAAAGTCAGGAGCATATTCTTTAGATTATGTAATTGCTTTTTAAAAAAAAAAACAAAACAAACAAAAAAAAAAAAAAAAAAAAAAAAACAAAACCCAAAAAACAAAACCACAAAATATAACATTTCATAGATACAAAATAAATCCAAAACACATATAAAACTACACTGAGCACAATCCAGCTGTTGCTGCAAATGAAGCTGTTTTTTTGCCAAGAGATGGTTGGCTTCTGACTGATTACTGATTAAAAAAAATTGAGTAAAACGTTCAAATGTGGTCAAGCCTAGTCCCTCAGAAAATAAATGAAAAGTGCCTAAGCATAATTACAATCTATCTCTGAGGAAAAGAAAACATGACTTCAGGTCAAATCAGGCACATTTGAATGTTTTACTCTTGTTCAAGTAAATCACCCCGATTTGGAAACACATCTCAATTGCATGGCAGCATACACAAGGAAAACATACACATCTCCTCTCACAATCAATTATAAGTGTAACTGCCAACCAGGAGAGAGAGAGTTCCTCTGTTTCCAGTCTTACAGCATGAGTCTTTCTAAGATAGACTGAGCTTTCATTATAACCAGGCAGCATAACAGCATGTGATAAACTTGAGATGTCCAACCAAAGTCACCCAAGTGTTGTGCTTAGAGCTCCTTCCAGAGCACTACAGTACTTCACTGTAAAAAACAAAAGTTCATCAAGACATGAACAGGTGGGACCAAATGTGACAGGTAAGGAAGTTGTATTGAACTTTGGTCTCCTGGAGGGCACTGAGATGCTAAGAATTTAAGTGCAGTAAACATTTTACAGACCTTAGATCTTCACTATCCCCTTTTATAACATGCGTAATTCCTCAGTCATCTATCCCCTCTAGTTCACTTTTTACTCTTAGTCTTGCAAAATCTTTCAGTACAGAATTAAAGACAAGATCTTGACTGTCTTCCTTATTTCTGTCAAAAGCCAAACTGGTGTCAGAGGGACTGAGAGCGTAAAGCCCAGCCTAACAGTAATGGTAGTGCTTCTAAAGATGAAATCTGAAAACCATTATGAAATTCATAGTTTCTTCTCAGAGAGAAAGTATAGAGAAGGCAGTTATACATACCATTTGGCAGTATTTCCCCAAAACAATATCCTTCAGTAATGTAGTTGTGACCTTAGTGCAAGAAATATGGTGAACTTTTGGAACACTTTGCCCAACCAGTTGTCCTGTAGCACCCAGACAGACATATTCATACACAGTTCCCAGTTTTAGATTATTAAGACAAAGGTTTGCTGGTGGAAATTGTTTTTCTAAAACAATAAGGATGGAGCTAGTCAATGAAAAAATAAGTTTTCTTCTCCCAGTCTGGAAGCAGTATTCACCACACATTCATCATCAACTTAATAGAAAATGTCCTTTACACATATGGTACTTGTCAACTGAATTACGAATTGATGCTGTTCCACAATAATCTGAAATAAATTGTTCTGTTTCACTCTGCAGTGGATCAAGAGAAAGGTTGCTGGCACAGTATGTTACTGTATACTTCGGACCTGCCAGTTCTAAGGGCTAAGTTTGTTTGAAAGGCAAAAATTTACTAGAAAAGGCACTATAAGTCATTTTTGAAAAAAACAAACTGTCCTGCAGTTACTCTTATAATAGAGTAGAATCTGAAAATATTTTCATCTATAAAGACACTTCCATTAAAAATGTTTAAATGTCACTAAGCTTTAAGGCACTCCAGCTGAAGAACCAACTGGATCACAACTACTGTTGGTAGCTCAGATTTCCTCTTTATCCACATAACTCATCTTCTTCAGTCTTTGTCCTTTGTGAGTTCTGCAATTTCATCAACATCTTCTATATCCTGTGTCATTTTCTCATACTGTCTCTTGAAGAAGCCAAGCTGTGAGAAGTAGTAAAATAACAGCACACTGCAGTCAGTCGTTGATAGTTCATTTCTTAGTTAAGCTAAATACTGTGATGGTAGAAGTGCACATGTGTGCATGCACACACTACTGAGCTGGATTTGTAGACAATTTTTGCCTCTAAAATGAAAGATCTGTGCCATAAACTCCTGCCTTGTGCAACTAAATACCAGAACAGCAGTGCTGATTAGATATTTGTCTCCCTGACAAGATTATAGACATCTCCATGCTGCCTCGGTGTGCCAAAGAGCCCTTCAAACACCAATGCACACAGAAGAACTTCCCTCGCCCCTTTATCTAGGTATCCTTTGTAAATGACTTTTTGCCCTTGCTCTTTCTCTGTTCTTTTGTCTGTTGAGATATATCCTCTCCCTCTTTACTTCTAATCCCCAGCCTTGTCCACTGGGAATATCATGGGCATTCAGAGTTCAGCTAGGGTATTATGGAAGGAGGCAGACAGTGTCAAAAGGAAAAAAGTGAATGCCACTGTTTTGAACAACTGGCAACTCATTTATCATCTTCATGTTGCTGGTTTCTATGAGGACTCATTTCACAAACCATTCTAAAATACATCAAGGGTGTAATGCCAATGAAGTATTATTCACGCCATCAAACTGCAAATGCGGTTTTGTTCCACACCAGAGAAGAGAGTTTCCAGAGAAAACAGCCCAATGTATTTATCCCTTTTTGTTTTTAAGAATATAAACTTACTTTCCACAAAACAGCAACCAATACTAACAGCAAGAGGAGTCCTGCCAATATACTGCCAATCACAACACCGACTGGTATCTCAGCTTTCTCATCTGGTTTCATTATTGTAACTGGGATCTGAAAGCAGAGAGATTGTGCATTAAGGATTAATTTTAACTGCATATGAAGTAGGATTTGTAAACCAAAGATCAAGAATGGCTGGACCCACACATTCCAGGGTCAATGACTAGAACACATCAAGCAATTACAGCCTGTTCACTGGTGTCCATGGGTGCCTGGTTGCACCACCATGGCACACAGCAGTGCTAGGTAAGGATTAGGGGCCCTCCTCATTCCTGGTGATACGTATCAGGCAGAGAACAACCTCTTCCTGACAGCTTCCTGCCTCTCCATTAACAGGAGGCCTTTCAAAGTTGTCCCCATAGTGCACAGACATACCATCACTGCATGAACCAGACATACCTACATGAAGGTGGAGAACAGCCTGGTGTACAGCCCCATCTGCTCAAAAACAGACCTCTGTAGTGTCAGCTGAAGAACTACTTTCCACCAAGCATTGTCAGAGCCCATTATCTGTGGTGGGCAGCTGTAGGAGGCAGTACTAATCACTGAGGCTGGACACTATCATGCACTCACTGCACCTGCTGAAATTTCAACCCTCCTGCTGGGCGGGTACCTCCCTTCCCTGTTCTTCCTACCTCCTGTGAAACCACTAACAGCTTGGTAGATCTCATGTTAATCTGTGTGCTTCTGAGTCAACTGAATGAATGTGCTGTAAGATGTATGGGTCAAACAGGAGCCCTTCTAGTACACTTACACTGGACTACAAGCAATACCAGAGAAGTCCCAGAAGAGCATACGATGTCTGGAAGTTAGTTTTCAGGTGATACCCTATCTAGCTAGATTAGGTATAACCAAATATATATTTACATATAACCTTGTTGCTCAGAGAGACATTGCTGTAATATTTATGAACTGTCAAATCTTTGGATTTAATCTTGGAATGACATGCATTTAGCTGAAGGTTTTTTTTCCTTCCTGAAACATGATAAAATAAGTCACACTGGTTTACTTTCTCTGGGTTGCTTGTCCAGTGCATTTGTCTGGTGTAATTTAATCTTAAGCTTTCTGGGAAACTTGCACTGGAATGACATCTCAGTGATTTAAGCAATTTCTGCTGGAAAGCTCCAGTGTTGTGCTAGGTGTGGCTGTGTGTATTCATTTCACTGAGGCAGGATGGCTTTGTGTATTTGCCAACCAAATGCCCATAATGATGATTCTAGCAGGTTAGTGTCCTGTCCTCCAGCTGGTAGTTCTTTCCAACTTGGAAAAAATCTGAAAGCTTTTATGCAAAAATACCTAAGCAACGTCCCCATATAGCATCACAAGGCAATATTCATTCATTTGGCTAAAAAACAACCTAGCTCATCCAATCTAAAAAGCCAATTTCATACGTATATGCAGTTTGCCTAGTAATGGCTTCTCCATTTGATTAACAGTGAAGTGGCACTGCTGGAAACGAAAATTGATGCCTAAGAAAAAATTACCTTGCCTGAAGTTAAACTGTCTTCAATAAGACACCATGACTGGGATTTACCTCATCTACTGTTGTATCTACAGTACTGTTACTTGACTTCTAAAGGAAGACAGGCTCTCTTAGGGCCTAATTCACTCTAGTTATTTTCAGGATCATCTTTAAGGTGAGATGAATTTCATTTCAGAAATACCTATTCTTTCTATGGATTAAGGTTTATAGAATGGCTAACTCTAATGCGGATGACTAATGCAGACATGAAGTCAGATGAATTCTAGCATGCACATCTAAATTAATAAGGTCAGTACGGAAATAAGGTTGTTCCTGCACTGTGTTGTACTGAAGGCAGTATGAAGGGCAGATTGGATACCTCTGTTGGCCTGACAAGAAGTATGTACGGTGCTGGGTAATGACTCCATGACTGAAGTGTCAAACTGTCTGACCTCGAGAGAACGTACCTCCACAATCTTGGTACATTTATCAAGACTTCTCACAGAGCAAAAGGCTTTTCAGTAAGGATCAAGCTGTAAGCCTTGTCAAAAGCTAAGGTGTTTCTTAGGAACCTGTGGATAACTTTCAGGGTCTGTTCAGCCACTGCCTCAAAGTTGAAGTCCCAGCTGCATATGTATCAATGGCTGACTGATGAATTAACTTTTATTTGTCATTCAAATAATTAAATTCTAGTTCTCCTGAAATAACCAACAGAACTGCTGCTAATGTAGATTTGGTAGTATCATGCTCCAAGTGTGGAAAAATAATTAGTAATACACGTTTTATGAGGTACCTAAAAAGCCTGTGCAGTTACCTGGAATATTTGCATTATGTATGAATGAGTTTCATCTCCTACAGAAATAACACCACGCCACAAAGCCGAAGCACTCAGAACACTTAAAATACTGGCATGTAATTTTTCTGCAAAAACAGGGCATTATTTACAGAACATATTTCCATACATACATCCTTTGCTCTTCAGGAACTGGAGGTTTTCCTGATTACAGGTTTACTTAGAGGTTCTTCACGAGAAATGGTGTGATCCATGAGAAACCAGTGACTAGAAATTGTACTGGATTATGGTCTTACCACAGTGAGACAGAACAATACTAATAGCCTTTGTACATACTTAATTGGATCCTCCATTGTCTTCGAATAGTCTATGCTACATATTCTCACAGATATTTGACTCATTTACTAATTTGTATTTTGGTCTTTGATGGCCTTGATTATTTCTATGGATAAAACAGGCTACTAAATCCTGTAAAAAGAAATCTTAAGATAGTACTGCAAATGGAAGGTGTTTCTCTCAAGACAGACCAAGAGAATAAGGTATCCTTTTTTTTTTTTACACCAGTACCACACTGCTACTTTATTCTTAAAGTGTTTTCTATGTTTGTTTATAGCAGATGGAAAATGTAGCAGAAGAATTCTGTACTAATAAAGCAGTGGCTTGGAGACTTCTCTTGAGATTAGCTGTGTCCACAGTGTCCATATGACAGCCATTCCAAATGCTAAAAATATTCTACACTCTTTTACAAATGAAATTAAGTATATTTTCTGGAGACCTGTGCCAAACATTTGTCTAGAAACATCAAACCATATATGCTTACAGAAGTAAGCAACACTATAAATCACATTTGCAAACATGTTTTCCAGAGCTCATTTATCTACAACAATTAAGTCCATTGCAGAAAGAAGTCCAAATTTTCATCCTTTCATAAACAGGATGCTATACGAATTTCAGAAGTTTCTAACTGACTTTTTCTGATAGCTCTACAATTTATTTGAGACCTGCAGGTTTTAACTAGGTCTAGTTTATATAGCAGTTAGCTGAAATGAAAACATTTTAGTAACTTAAGGGAGGTTTTATACAGTCAGAAATATACATTAGTTCTACACAATCAAATTGCTATGTACTCCTAAAAGACACTGAAAATTAAAATCATCACTTTAATACAGTAAAAGAGAAGTTGAAAAAATATACTTATCTGTCACTTACAGTTAGGGTATTCTCTCCAATTATAAATAACTCAGGGTTATGTGTATCAATTTTTGCTTCTATAGAGAGTTGTAATTTTTGGAAAGTTAACTGAAAGAAAAGATTAAAACAACTGTAAAGCTCTGTTATAAGGCAAATCATTTAGAATGCAGACATCCTAAGATGATTCTCTTGTTTTGAAATGAAGATCAGAACCAGAAAGAACCCACAGTATTAAGAATATTAAAATTCTCTTTTTATTTGTCCCTCGCTACCACATACATCAAAGTAACAAAGTATCAGTAATCCACACTTAGCAATGACACTGGGGAACTGGTTTTTTTCTTTCTTTAACATACAGTTCAAGAAAAACAGAAGGAATTGTTTATATAACCCTTTTTATAGTTATTTCAAAGTTGTCACTGCTGCTAGCAGGGAAGAGATGAGGAAAAATAACAGTGAGAAAGGGAGACAGCAACAGAAGACAGATGGGAATAAATCTCTGGCCTTTGAAAGAAATGGAAACTGGATGTTCTTTTACTCCCCTCCCTCACCTCTATCCAATGCTTCTGTTTTTCCCCATTTATTTTTTTCCTATCACTATGTGTTTCCACTTCTCATATCCTGACATGGCTCTCTCAGCTTAAACAGAGAAGACGACAAAAATCTTAAGCCAATTCCCATTTGAAAAGGGACCTTGTGCCAGATCCCACTTCCCTCTGTGGATGTATTGGGAGGAAAGCAGGCACCAACAGCTCACTGCTGCTTTTCTCCTATAGCACCAGGAATGGCCTCAGATTCGTGGGAGCACAGGAGCACCTGCCTGCTGAACCAAATGCATTTTGCCTCCTCAGCCATTCCTCTGTGGCATGGGCAGGTACCACAGGCTTGACACAGGAAATATGGGCAATCGTGGGTCTGCAGCAGCTCACACACACCAAATTGACTGCCCCTGACCGTAAGTTATTGTACCTCTGCGCTGTGGCCATCTGCCCAAGTGGTCTGTTCTGCACACCTAAAAGTTTAGAAATCCATCTTAGTGCTACTCAAGGAACCTCAATTCCTAAACACATCTTTTCCTTGCTTAGCAGGTACTTGCAAGCTCACTATGCCCTTCTTGAAGAATGGCTGATTGCCACTAAATAAAACGGTTGATGATGTGCACTACCGAGTGAGTGCTTTCAAGATTATTTGAAGTTTGACAATCAAATATAAAATTACAAAATGGGAAATGCAAGGAAAACTCGCATTTCAGTAGTAAACAAATTATTCAGCCAGTAGTAAACAAATTATTTCCACTCACTTTCTTGTGAGGGTAGCAACCTTTTGTTCAGGTCTCCCCTGGCTCTGTACTAACAAAAGGTCTTGACCCAGATGATTTAAAAAATACAAACTTTAAAGACAGACACTTTCTGTTGCACACTTGCATAATGCACTTTGCAATATCAACCTGACCTTTTCCTCTCAAGAGCTGAATGCTGACAACAGCCCTGCTGTTAAATGTCAATACCTGCCACAAGACTTGCCAGACAAACTAAGGAGAGTGCGTCATGTTCTTGATGCTCTAGGCAAACCCAGGACTCCAAGACTGTTTGGTTGGTTGCCTAGCTAAGAAGCAAACATGGTCTAACTTCAAAAGTCTGTTAACTCAGGATGAGTTATAACCCAGAGGACACATGGTGATTTAAAATGGGAAAGCCAAGATATTACTGATAGATATTTTTAAGCATCCTATAGGTCTCTTGGACTGTTTCTTTGTCACCTACTCTAATAAAAAGAAAAAATCAATTAAAAATGTTTTCCACAATTTTTGTAACACGTAAAACTGGCAGCACTAACAATGCATTTTGATGTGACTTAAAATGATCACTATGTAGGCTGTGATGTTCAAAAACTCAAAGCACCATTATTTGAGAGGCTATGATGATACTCAATATACTCAGAAGATTGTACTCTGCTCTCCTATGATGAACTCTGTGGAAACTGTAGTTTCTCTTGAATGAATTTAACAGATGTAGGAAATGGTTTTTGCAGCTATTAAGGTTGCATTATCACAGTACTTTCTTAGATTGTGTGCTGCACTGAAGTTTTACCAGCTCTGTTATGCAGCCTCACTACTTTACTTTTAGATTCTAAAGTTTTCAATCTGGAAAAACACCCAGACCAATGGGAAGTAAAGGAAGGTTATTCTAAATTGTAAGGTTTCTTTATTGAACTTTGAATATTATTAGGAGTTCTGATATACTTTGAGTATTGCATCCCTCATAAAGATGCAGCTGATACTCACAGCAGCAAAGGTTCCATTCCAGATTTGGGTGGACACATTCACAAAGTACTCTCCCTTCAGCATAATGTCTTCCAGTTTGCATGTGATGACACTGCACTTCACATTCTTACAGTTCTTCCAGGGGAAGAAGCAAGAAGAGGTAAGAACATGCATTAAAAATACATTTTAAAAAAATATTCCTTTAACATCCAGACTTTTTTGCCCTTGTTTTTGCCATTCTATGCCTACAAATTAAGTGCTTGCAGGGTGAGAAGAATGTGCACGTTTTCTTCTATGTAAAGCAGATGTAGTATGGGTGAAAACATCCATAGGTTGAACTCCTGCACTGCAAATGCAGAATGCCACCCCATCACAGCTTTCCTCACAAGTACAGCAAGGGGCTTATGAGGATCAGCTCTCCATCCCTGTCCTGCTTACTGCAAGCCAGAGTCTTACTCACCAGTTCTTTGGAAGTTCTGAAGTTCTCTTTTGTGAAAGATGGAGAATAAGGTCTTTTACTTATTTGCAGTGGATTTATCTGAGCTTCACAAGTAACACCTCTGGCCTAGGAAAGATGGCAGGAATGAGACTGGATAACATCATACTCAGGAATTTATAGTCATCTTAACAATATACACTTCTGGGATGAGATGGTGGCTGTGAAAGGCTTGACTTGAATTATATAACACTGAACTCTTTAGGAACCTAAGAGAGACTGTATGTAGTTCCGGTCAGAATTAAATGGCTTTTAAGGTGATTTTTTTTTTTTTCCCTTAGATGGACCTCAAGGGTTCATCCTAATCTAAAAATTCCATTTTTAGGATAACTTTTCCAGGAACTTGGAGAATGACAAAACTGAAAAGATCCAGAATCACACAAAAACTCAGTTGGGGATGTAACCACCTCTGGCAAGTAATAGGCTACTACAGTGATCACATCGTGGTCCTCCCTTTATGGGGAAGGGACAAGGAGAAAGGGCATGGATTCTGTAAAGGGAAATAATTATGTTTATAGTACTGATCAACCCCTAAAATACAGTTCGGTTCTACACCTGATCTGTGGTGACCGCAGTGAGGTACATCAATGGGTTGTCTTTACTGGTCAGTTCTGGAAGATAGATTTTTACAGATGCCATCTTTATTGGAATACTTCCTGTTGTTACCTGCAAAGCAAATAACTTGGAGTTAATTCAGGTAGCTGTGCTTATATATGCGTAAATTATGTGATATTGCAAGAAAATCAGAAATCATGGGTGAGTATGGAAGATCTGGACTCCTTTTGCATCAATATTTTTTGTACTAAGACACTACAATAGGAGTTAAATTATGTGAATAGTAAAGTAGAAAGAGTACAGTATAGCTTCAGGTTCCTGTCTTTTTCCTTAGTAAAGCTCATATTAACTGCATGAAATATGTTTTGAAGAGCAAATATTTTGCCACAGCCAATAGGCCTGTTTAGTCCTTTGGAGTAGCAGTTACAGGAATGTAAATGGAACATAATTTAAGTTTCTTCCACGTTGCATATTTGGATCTAAGTTTTTTCTGAGTTATGTAATAAGTGCTGTGATTTGGCTAGCTCTTGCACCTGGTTTGAGCACTTAACCCTCGCCAAACTTCAAGTTTCAAAGTTCCAGCCTGCAAAGACTTGTTTTCCTATATCAAGTTGGCAGAAGACTCTGTGAAAAAACAGTCTGAGTTGGCCTAAAGTTAAGCATTAACCATCTTCTAAGTATGTAAACAGTGTGGGACCAATTCCTCCCCCATTCTACTTGTGCAGTAATTGCAAATGTCATCTTTAACCTTATGAAGACTCCAAGCATTTATTCCCCATCTATGTACAATCTTTTTTCTTATTTGACCTATTCAAAAGCCTCAAAATCATGTTTTTTCAACTAGATTTTGAGAGCAGGCTACAGAGGGAGCTAAGGCAACTTCTCGAACCAGAACCAAATACATTTACTAACCTTAACTGAGAAGTTGAATGTGGGGCCAATATCTTCAAAATTATTCACAGTGGAAGGAATGTTATGACCAGAGTATACTTCATAGAAGTTGATGTTGGCAAGCCTAGTTAACAACCAAAAAACAATACATTTCAATTTGGCAGCTGCTTTGAAAACATATGTTACTGGATATTCCTTTGTGAAACAGGTCAGAAGTACAGTCAGAGGAAAAATCAGTCACTTGTACTGCTGTTTGAATTTTAAAAAGTTGGCTAAGAAAATACACAGTTCACTGAAGCCCAAAGCTGGAGTGAGAGTGTCAAGGTAAGACAGGAGAGCTGTGGGGGGCACAGGCTCTGCTCAGGCTTCTGGACCCTGTAGTGTTTCAGTGCCATATTGCAAAGCTCCTGTCCTGGGCACAAACTGCAACTTTCAGCCTTGCAGCTGCCTCCTTCCTCAGAAAGGGCCCCCTTAATGGTCCCTGGATAAACCTATAATGGCAAATACTAACAGACTCTGACGGAGATCCTGGGCCTTAATGTCATAGACCACAGGCAGCCTTGTTTTCACACTGCCTGTGTTTGTAAACACACATCACCTTGCTTGTGTACATGGTCCATATCGCATAGCCCTCAGTCCTCTCTGGGTCACTTTCTTTAGTAATTATGAGGTCTAAAATCCCAAATTTCCGAAGTAACGTGAGGGTGGTTTCAGCACACCAAAGCATGTGTGTGACAGAAGGACATGGTGCAAGGGCCTGTGGGTGCTCAAGGAGCTCATCCAGTTGGAACCATGCTGAAAGACAATGAAAGCACCCCTATGCAACGCATCACATCCACATGCCTGCTACCTGTGAGCAGCTCCTCTGCTGAATCATCCCAGAACTGCGTCTGCTCTTCGTTATTAGCTTTTTTTACAAGGCAGTCAAATTTGAGCAGTCAAAAAGCAAGTTGGTGGTGAGTTAACACCAATTAGGGGCTATCACAACTCTTACATCAACTCCTCCTGTAATACAAGCTGCAAATCCCTCCTCTTTACCATTGCTGCTCTCTGTGTTTAATCTGGGTAACATCTGCACCTACAGTCCCAAATTAACATGTGTGCAGTCTCAATATGGTGCTTCCTGATCAGTTGTGGTCCTCCATATCACACTGTGGATCCTCTTTGATTCTCCATACTTCCTCCCATGGGCCTTAACTGGAAGGGCCTCCTCATAGGGACTCCAAGGAAAAGCCACATGACACATTTTCTGCTTCCTTATTGCTGAAGACTCCAGTCTTTCCAAGATGCACAGTGTCACCGTCCTTGTCCTTGCAGGAGTCAGCTATAAGACTTATTCCTACATCTTCTCCTAGAAACTTTGGAGATTATCCCTAAAAAGGCTTCACTTCAGCAAGACAACAAATTTTCTCAACCTTTGTATTTTAAGGTATTGCTCCTCAGCTATTATATTTAGTTCCAGATAAATACTTCCTAACTCAAAGAATGTAAATTATATTAGGGCTTAATATGTACGTCATTTAGTTCTTTTAGACTGATTATCTCCAAAATAAATAATCCTTTTCTGGTAGAAGGTATTCCTTCATGCCTTGACTTGCATATGAAATTGCATTTTCTCATACTCAGGAGGTGCACCTGAATTCAACACCCTGTTTTTTCCTTTTATAGATGCCACACCTTGCCTCTTCTGAAACACTGCATTTTAGTTCATACTTCTCAGCTAATTAAATTTGCTTATTCAAGTTTACACCATCTGAATTTCCTAAGAAGCTACCTAAGTTGCTATGCTAGTCCCTATACAGATGATCCTGCAGTCTCTGGGCCTCTGCTACCTTTATTAGAAACATTCTGCTTCTGATGAGGTCGCACAGCTTTCTCAGGGAGTTGAAAGAACTTGCACTGCTGACTCAAATGCTCTTCTGCAATAATCTCCAAAATTCTGCGTGACTCTAGAACTGGTGCACCAAGTCAACGAGCCTCCAGTACTCCAAAACTGCTTCTGCAAAGCAGGTTATAACATTTATCTTCTATGCTGTAGTCCCTATTCCAGCTCAGTCATCCTACACAGCAGCCAACAGTTCTCACAGCTATAGTGATCCTTGAATATTAGTTTCCTAAATCCATTGTTGCTGTGCATTTTTAAGCAGCTTTTGCTTTTTCAAATTTCTGTAATTCTTTGAATAACTACTCTTTATTTTCTATCAGTTTGTATTTACTAATTTTTTAATGATTTGGGATGCAAAAGAATTTTTTCACCGGAAATTGGTAACCAAGTGCATCAAATGTAACTGCACATAGTTTATCCTAGACTATATTCAGTACTTGGAAAAGATAGTAAATATTTTCTTTGATAAGAAGTAAATATCCTACTTTGATACAAGTGTCAAACCAGTGTATTTTTGTTTCAGTTCAAATGTAAGTTAGACTGTAACTGAAATGATTATATTTTGGAACAGACTAATTACTGCTTGAGTGCATCCCAAATCATGGGGGCTTTCCAGGGCCCAAAATAAGAGCTTTCAAGGGCACAATATACAGATCAGTCTTAAAGGGATTTTTTTGTTCGTCTCTCTCCCCCTGCCCACTCAGCTTCCTCTCCTTAAAAATCACCCTTCCCAGGGTGAATGCTCCCTCTTGGAACAGGCCAACTGGCCTTCTGAAAGGAGAGGAAAGGGCTAGCACCAGGCAGGGAAGGGGTGTGTGTGAGCCAGAGTCTGGTGGGGTGCATGGGAAAACAAGGGGTACAGCTCCCAGTGCCAGTGCAGCTGCAGCAAGGGGGAATCTGCCATATACTTCAGATTTTAGTTCAAATCTTTATCTCAAACTGCAAAAAAGTTTATAATTTTGGCCTCGGTTCAGCAGAGTTGTCCATAGTTTTTTTCTTTTTTAATTCCCTTCCTTTGCTGAGAGTTTGGGTTGGAGCGTATTTTTCCTTGTGCTGTTGCTCTTTTGTTTAGATCATTTTAACTCCTGGTTTGATCCAATGTCATTACATTTAAGCCCAGAGGTCCAATCTTATTATACTGTAAATACTATTTGCATTATTTATATTATCAAGACTAGAAGTACTGTTTGGCTTTTATACCAATTGCATTCATGTGACCATCTGTAACAACTATGCAGAGGTAAACGTGGATGCACAACTTCCATAATTTTTTACATGATGTTGGAAGGACATACAAATCTGCTACTACTAATGAAGTGGGAATTTCTTATGACTTCCAAAACAAACCCCCAAAATCTTCAGTATATTTTCAGTGGCTTTTCAAGACTGTTACTGTATTCAAGTACCTTGACAAAATGCCAGTTACTCTTGACATTATTCAGCATACCTTGTTAAGTGAATTTCTGCATCATATCTCAAAGGAATTGATAAGATGACCTGGTTGTCCAATTCTTGCTGTTCCTTACTTTCACTGTTCATCAAAAGACATTTAAGTGTTATAATATTGTTTTGTACAGATAAAGTATTAATACATAACTTGTTTTCATATGATTATATACTTTACCTCAATGCACGAAAGCTTATGTCTGCCACATTCTGAAGATTTTTAAGGTTAAAATCAAAGCTAATATCAAAGGATACCTATGCAAGAGACAAGGAACACATACTGAGTTGATGGTGCAACATCCAAAGGCCTTCCCAATAGCGCCATAATTATTCATATGTGCAACAATCTAGAACTCCCTCTGTATCTGAATTCTCCACGGATTTCTCTGTAATATTTCAGTAGTTTCTTACTACTCCAGAGTTGATTTTTTCTTGTGTTCCCCTACACATTGGCATCTTACATAAACAGCTATTTGCATTTAAAAACTGTGTACAACTAGCTACAATTTGGAACAAAATGTGTTGAGGATTCCTTCAATTACATGCTTTTAAACTCTAGCACTGACACAAGCTTGTGTTTACTCTTTTCTTTCATTTGTTGTGGCAGGTCCACTTTGACCAATTCCATTAAAAATTCAGAATGAACTTAACTTTTTATATGCAATTTTTTTTATATAATTCTGCATTCCCTACCACAGACTATTACATTTCTATTCTTTCTAGCAAGTTTCTTGTTGCTCCAGTTGATTGTGTTAGAGGCTAGAACCCTGTTTCTGTTCTGCCCTGTAATAAGAGATTCCATAAAACCACGAGATTCATAAAACCATGGATATCCTGAGGTTTATGATATATATGAAAAAAAGATGTAAGATCTATCCTAAGGCTGTGTGGGCCACCCATCTCTCAGACTGCTTTCTTGGAGAGATGAGATTCACAGAGCAGGTGAGGGAGTTACCCCAGGTTCACGCTGTAGGAGGGATTTGATGGGAATTGTGCTCAGTTTCTCAGCAGCCTGCACATGATGCTCTATGCTTCTTGGCCCCCAGCCTTCACCCTCCAAAAGTTACCTTGCTGCAGCAGCATTTGAAAACTGTGGGTTGTGATAAATGTGCTTTGAAAGCCTTTTTTTCCTTTAGTCTGACAGGAAGTCACAGAAGTTTAACCCTTGGTTTGCTTCTTTTAATGCCCCTGTTGTCAAATCTAAGAAATCTTCATCAGCAGTAAATGCAGATTTAGGGGTAAACAACAGTAAAAAAGGTTTTGGATATCATTTAAGGTTATGTAAACATGCTAGCTGTACCTGTTGTCCTGTTCTGAAAACAGGATAGCTTGTTTGGCAAATGACTGTACTTTGTGCTGTTCCTGTTTGACATGAGACTTCAGTCCCATCACTCTGCAGAGAAAACAAGCAGAAATGTCATCTTAATATCAGGTTTGGATAAAGCAGAGAGGCAATTCCTGGTCTGTATCTTCAACAGCACAGCTATTATACTAAGGTAAAAAGAATAGGTGTTATGGCCGTAATTCCTCAAGATGCAGCAGATGGGTGGAGCATAGACAGAGCCAGGAAAAAGGCAGGAGAAAGGTGAGACAAGGACCAGTCCCATGCAATTCCTTGTGACCTGTAAATGATCTTGTTAGAAGTTAGTGCTGGGCTTGGAAGAAGGAATACAGGCCAGAAAGTACAGGTCACCTCCAGCATTAACCTCTCCAGAACTTTTTCACAGAATTTTTACAGAACTTCTGCAGACATATTTACTCAACCCTAGAGCAAGATAAGTACCTTCAGTGTAGAAGTTAAGAGTGCAAAGGGCAATTCTATCATACTTTCTGTAGGAAAATCTAGAAAAGAGTTTGCTTACAACTTTGCAGAATATTTGGCATGTTACCATCCTTATATCAAACTCACAGACCATAACCAGTTATCAACCCTTCAAAAAGAATTCATTAAAATGTACAGTCTTTTGTAAAAAAGCATTCCTAGCAGACATTTACCATTCATGAACTGTACTAAGAAAAAAAACCCTCAAAACAAAACCCATACATACTCAGCTTATGCTTTTCTTCCTGCTTTGAAGCATACACGTTTTTGGTTAAAGCTTCACTTGCAGGCTGAAGTACTAAGCAAATGGGTTTTTAAAGCAAAAGAAAATCCCAGCTCCAGTGTGGTCTTTTGGCAGGAGTGGCATGAGCAATTTTGCTGCACAACAGGATAGGGAGGTAGAGGGGCACCCTCAGTGCTGTGCGTAGTATTTCTGCCAGTTCATTGTTCAGAATAATGCTGCTCTTGGGCAGTGATGAATGCTATCCCTCCTCTCCCATCAGTATAGGGATTGCTCTGGATTTCACCCCTAGGATTATCACGCACCTCTCCAGTAGCAGCCTGACCACATAAGCCAAGCACTGAAGTATGCATTTCATCCCTCAAGAATTGTTTGGGAGCAACAACTGTGATTATAGATATACTGCATTCCCCAAAATAGTATGGGTAATTCCTCTTTTTCCCCTTTTCTAAGATGAAATTTGTTAGAAAAAGAGCTTCTGGTTTAGCAATCGTGTCAGTCTGATTAACTGTCTAGCTGGAACACATGGCCTTGGCAGTAACACTGTTTCTAAATCCAAAGTCTGTGCTTTTAAGAAAGCATCAGAAAGATGCTGCATGACTGATTTATCAAATTCAAATTCCCTGTGGCACAGGAACTGCATCAGGCACATTGCTGAGAATTACGTAGAAGATGCCTAAAGTGAGGAAAAGATGACTGAAATACTGAGATGAGGTCAAACTCAACAAGTTGCCAACTTTTATGCTGAGTTGGCAGTATTTCTCCTTGACCTAAAGAAACTGATATGCTGAGGGAATAATTCTGGTATCCAAGAAAATAAACTGGGAGAGAGGTTTGCACACACATTTTTTCCTGGCATAGGCACTACTAGAAAGAAAATAAAAAAATTTTCTGAGAACCTCAAAAATCAGGGGCAGTAATAGAAACAGGTTGGGTATTACGCACCGGTAAAGACGACGAAGCAAAAAACAAGTTGTCTGAAAATGTAGCCTGGATTCTGGTGTTATATGCATTTTCCTTTTTATTTCTCAATTTCACATTGAACGTTAGTCTTCTGTTTTTGCTGCTAACAACAAACTGTTGTTTGCTGTTGGAAAATAAAGTCCATTGTTGTAAATAGAGATACTAGAACAGCTGTGGATGAGGAAAAAGTATTGCCTATAGCCAACAACAAATAACAAGCACAGCAAGACATTTCCTACATTCTATGCTGTTAAATGCTCTCCTTTGTAAACCCACTGGCATAAGAAATTCTATGATGCTGTTCCCTATATCCAAATGGAGTTAGTATCTTCTCAAACTGCTGGACCTTGACTTTGTATGGTCAAAGTCACTTTGCTGAATTGTCAAGGGCTTTACTCTGGTGGGAAGGTGGGCAGAGTGGGTAGCAGACACGGAAAGCAGCTCCAGGAAGAGGTAACCCTGTCTCTGTGTACTGTACATGTATGCATATATCTGCTATGGACTTGGAATATGTGCTGTCCTGCACAGCCCACTGCAGGGTCCTTGCTGCTCTCCCATTGTGCTCCCTTTCCTAAAAGCAGCCAGTCAGATGTAATTCTTCTGAATACTTCGTGTCCTCATCTCTAAGGTACCAACACTTGGGCTGGTCTAAGCTGACAAGAGTCCTAGTTCTATATTTGTGTTCCTATCTTACTTCTTTTTCCTAGTTTAGATTTAGATCCAAATGCCATTTTTATCACAGCTATTTCTAAACAGATGTTGAACTAGAAAAGCACTTTCATCCAGAAATTGATCCAAAGCCTGCAGGCAAACTGACTGCTAAAAAGCTAATACTGCACCCTAACAATTCCACTGACTCAGCTCTTACCCATCCTCTGCCTTCCGCTGAACATTCAGATCAAGATCACAGATACAAAGTTCATCTTCACCACAGTCTTTAACAAAAGGAATCTAGGAAAAACAAAAGCATTTTCTTAATGACAGGGCTCAACTTTTAACATTATCTGCAGACACTAGAGGGCAAACACCCTTGAGGTAAAGCATGTTCTTGGTTTGCAAATAAGAAAGTACCTCTGAAAGACACTAAAAATTCTTGACGCATGAACAAGTTAACACTGAATAAGGTCATGCTACATGTCAACTGATCCAAAAGAATGATACAGACATGTTATTTTTAACCCACAACAAAGGTGATAAAATCGAATTACTTTCAACTCTCTTTTATGTACTCTTTTATCGTAGGATAAACTCACTTAAAAGAATTAATCTTTGTCATCAACTAAAAGTTTACATCAACAGTGACATGGCTGAATCAACATGCATGTTATGCAAAGGTGGCTGATGTTTGTGTGTGTGACCAAGCTCATGCCATGCAGGCGAAAGTGTAAAAGGAATCAGGGGACACCTCCAAATGTGACTTAACTAGAAAAAAGTTTTCACTTGTGTATACCTTTTCGGTGTTTGTGGGGGCCACACATTATGGATATATATATATATATATATATATAATATATCTAGTCATGCATTTCTCAACAGCAAGTCTGCATACTTACACTATAGGCCACAGATGCAGGAGAAGATATATCAAGGACAGGGCTGGAGGCAGGATTTGCAACGCCAATATCAACACGCAAACTAAGTGAGTTCACTGCATCTGAAGGTTCCTGTAAACACATGATTCAGATGATAGCTGTCAGCACAGAAAACAGGGTAAAACTGGCAATTCTATCACATATTGAGAATGTATAGTAAAATAATATTTCCTCTAAACAAGAAGAAGCAACAGTTTAAAGCTTTATTTCTTGATGAAAATCATTTTGTGAGATTGCCTAGTGTGGATTCCTCTAGCTCAACAGTTTTCAGTGCCATTGCCATGACTCTGTACATCAAAGTCACTTCTGAGGCTTAGGAACGTGCATATTATCTGCAGCTCTAGGAGATGGTCATCAAAAGCCATCATTCATTGTTATCTGACTGCAGAAGTCAAATTTCTGTTCCACTCTGCCTTACCATCACAGAGAGCAGCTGGGCCAAAGTGACACTGAAACACCATGTACTGCATGTTTCCTCTTGTTCTTATTACAGGATGAATAATCTTCTAGCCCTGTGGCTCATGGCTTCACAGGGCACTAAATGTGACCAACAAGTCAAAGGTACTTGTATTGCAAAGCAAAGCAGGAATTGAAGCCCCCTACCTGACCTAGCAACATGCATTGAGACTTAAGGCTAGTCTCGGGACTGTGTTTGATCTTTGGTTCTAGAAAAAGATGGAGACCTGGTTCTAGAAAAAAGATGGAGACCTGCTTATTTTTGTTTTATTCCTTGTGTATACCTTGGGATAGAATGCACCAGAAGCCTTCCTGAAATATTGTTGAAATTGTGGACTATGGGCTGTGTGTTGCACCAGAGGTGAATAACAGCTTAATCTATCCTAAAAATCTGTACTGAATTTGACAGTTATTAAGTTTTTATGAAATCATAATCTTACTAAGTATTTTTCAGTTGCGGGGATTTGGGAAATATAAATAATTTTGTACACCATGCATGAAATTCACTTTGCAGACAAAAAAATTAATCAATGTCTTCCTCTGATCACTTTTATTATACAAGACTGCTTGCAATTGCACTTACTTGTACGATGAAGACTTCATGAACACAATTCTCTTCATGACGTACCACAAGATTCCTCTGCATGTACCTTTCATTATTTGCTTTGAAAAATCCTCTAGAAGTCACTCTGGAGGACTGGAGATCTGCATCCAATGTTGCATTGTACTTTATAGCTATTAGAAGAATAACAGTACATTTTTTGCTGAGTACAATTGCCTGTGAGCTCATTACTATGCTCAATATTATAGTGACCAAGATTTTGAAACCACTCTAAATATTTCAATTTTTTTCATAGCTTGCTAAAGGCAGAACAGTCTCAAAATGAAAACACTTTCTCTTGTGTTTTCCAAAGCAGTCAAACAGGTTTAGATCCTGATATAAGTTCTGATCCACAGAGAACACATTAAATGGCAATCAATCCAGTCTCCACTACAGATGTCTGAGCCTCCAGTTCAGGAAAGCAGCCAGTCAGCAGGGCCAGGATTACTCCACAGTAATCACTGAACAGTATCACTGAACTCTGAGAAGATTATAATGAATCTGCACCTTCTCCTCAATCACATAATAATTCCTGCCATCTTCTCTTCATGTTATGATTAATATGCTGTTGGAAGTTCACTGTTATTTTATAGCTTGCAATCATGAGTTCCTAAAGGCACTATACACAGCACTGAAACAATCCAACTGGTGTTATCCATGAGGTTTAACTTGATAGCTTCATGAGAGGCCACTGCTGGTCTCAGAAATATTCCTTGTCCTCTGAAAAGAAGAACTTCCCTGCACTGAAAACTGCACTGAGCCTATGGAAAATATTTTTTTTCTGAAGAGAGTAGAAAATTCTGCAGTCTGCTTTTGAAACCAGCAGACTGAAAAAACCCAGCTTCTCACTAATGACATTTTGTGGGGACTGTTGAACAGCAAGGACACTGCTCTCCTTTATACTGTTAATTCCCCATTCTTCAAAGATTATGGAGCCAGTGATGAAAGTAGGTCTTCACAACACTTTCTCAGGCACCTAAGTTTTATACTGACTTTGCCATTCTTGACATTCAATCTAATATATCTTTAGACTTTCCACTACTCATTTGAATAATGGATTTCTAAGGAAATTAATATAAGACAAGTCACTGAAATACTCTTACCCACTTGATTATTTCTCTTAGCAGGTCTAAATGTAGCCTGAAAACATATTTTGACAGTTACTTCTGTATTCTTGTTCAGCAGACTGATTTTCTCAGGTTTAAATGAGGCAATTATGGACACATTTGCAATGCTTCTTGACCTGAAAAATATTTTTAAGGGTTACATGGGGTTTTCAAGAGTACTGTCTATAACTATCTGTAGATGTTAGCATTGGTTTTTTTGTTCCTAATGTAAACATTTTTTAATGGCACTGGTAAAATTATTTTTCTTTGCATATACTTGAATTTTTTTATAGAGTAGCTTTCAGTAATGATAACAAATAATTTATCATTTCAAATTAAGCGATAATCAATGTCTTTATCTTAATGCTCTATTCAATCCCTTAGGGTATCAGAGAAGCCCTTGTCCTGTTTTCAAAATAAGTAACATTCTGTTGCTTTAAAGAAAGTTACTGAGCTCCTCTGGGGAAGTGAGGAAGGGTAATTCTTCATTTTATTTAATAATCTTAGTTTTAAAAAAAACAACTTTAATTAATCAAGATTTTGAAATGCAGTTTCAAAGGAACCCTGCATGTAAAAATAAACACTTTAATCAAAAGTGAAACTCATTAATCAGCCCAAATGCCAGAGTGAATGAAGAATGAGCATCTTCATTAATCAAATCTAAATAAATGTTGGTACTCCAAGTACCATAATTTTCTTCAATGAAATTCCCAGCAGCAGCAGCGGTCAAAGGTCTAAACTGACCATTCATTTTTAATTATCTTGTTTCATTATGAAAGAAGTAGCAATTCAGTAATGGTTTTCTTACAATGGGAAGCCTCAGGCGACAAGACAGGCAGCAGACAGGAACAGAAACTCCATTTGAATTTAGTTTCTCAGTACTTAGGGAGGCAGACGATTTGGATTTTGTGAAACCTTTCTATTTTATTTTGTGAAAGTACTCAGATTACTATGCCAATAAAAATGGGTTTCTCGCAGAAATAAGGGTCGACTCTCTATTACTGCTCCCTGTCCTTACACTGAAAGACAACTCTTTCCCCCATATCAGCCTACCAGTCAGTAAAGGTCATGCAGGTTGTGTGTGAGGTGGTTTCACCTGTCTCAGGCACAGCTATCAAAATTATACTGTGACTGATGAAGTACACAACCTGTTCTTACCACTGCTCGCAAGCAAGCCCTATTCCCTGTTGCTGCCCCTTCCCTCTGGACCACATGTCTGCACAGGAGCAGTGGGCAGGGATGTGTCCTGGCTCTCCCATTCCTGGTCAGGTCCCCACAGCAGGCTCTATCACCTGGCTTCTTCCCATGTGCCCTGGGTCTGCCCCTTGTGCTGCCTCTGCATTCAATGCTCTAATGATAAACGCTTAAAACAGATTTAGTCCAGTGCTCTTTATTCAGCTAGTTAAGGTAGCAGGGATGAGGCAGTGTGTTAGTTCTGCACACATGGGACGAAAAAGCTTTTTCATTTGCTTATTTTCCTGTTTAATTAACTAAATGTTCAACTTGTATATGAATCATTAATCATTTCCTTTCTGAAAAGAGTTTACCAACCATAGCAGAACCACATTTCCATCAGCACCAACTGATACATCACTTATGTCGTCGTCATCTAAGTCTCTATGGCCATCTACTGATCTTCCAAAGAATTGGAGCTGTTGTCCAAAAGCAGAATCCGATCCTAAAATTTTCTAGGAAAGAGTTTGGTTACTGAGTTTGCCAAACATGCTTAAGTCTGTAGATAGCAGCCTAAGCAATAGATTTTCACTGATGCTCCCTTTATATACAATGTATTGTTTAAACAAAATGCATTGTGGATGTTTCCTCAGATGCTTTTTAGCACTTCTTCCTCCCCTGTTGGAGCAGACAATGGACTAGATTTTTCTGTCTTGGGAGTAGTATACTGACTGCTGTATGCCAGACAGTACTTACTGGAAACCTTTTCCATCTACACTTAGCAACTCGAAGAACGCAAAGCTTAAGAGGACTTCTAAAAAATGCTTTCTGCAACCAGAAACCACTGCAGAAACCACTTTCTGCATGGAAAGTGATAATATGATTACCATAACAGTAGACACAAAGATCATTGAAAGACTTTCCCTGTAATACCATGGATTTGTAATTTACAGAGCTGGGATCTATCTAATCTTCATTGCTGTACATCAACCCTAAAAATGTGAATAATGGGTATCAAAAACAAACAGGAAATCAGCTGACTTCACACTCAGATATAAAAAATAGTAAGAGGCTTAGACAGAGTATCTCACAAATGCTTTTCCTCTATATGTTCAGTTAGAAGCACGACAACATCAACCTGGGTATGCTGACAGGTGAAGGAAGGAGAGGCACAAAACTTGAAATAAGTCATGAGAGTAACAGTATTCCTTTAGGAGGATGAAACACTACCCACTTAAAACATAGAAAAATCTTCCTTTTTCCTCTAGCAGATCTAAAGGCACTGATTATTATGCAAAATTATTTACCTGAGAATATTTGGTACGTATAGTCTTTTGAAATCCGTTATAAATATAAATTGCTCCAGAGTTTTGGTTTTCCAGTGGAGCACCTATTACAACATCATTAAAGCCATCCAAATCAATGTCTGCAAGAGCTGCAATCGCTGATCCAAAGCGTGCATTTTCTGACCCTTGTGGACCTTCCAAGATTTCTTGTTGACCCAAAATTCTCTTTAGAAATTGAAAAAGAAGAAAAAGGAAAAACACAGCTATTATTGCACCAGATTAGACATAGGAGCAGTATCTATGTGCATTGTTTTTTTATTTCTGTTTTCCAGTACATTCCCCTTGGACAGCTCAACCCTGAATTCCTTCCCCATTGTATTGCCCATTCAGTTTGCATTATGTCTCAAAGTCCTGGCAAGAATTACACAGCAAAATCAAAGCATGCTATGCAAAGCACTAGCAGCAAATATAACCATATGTATGAAGCTTAAATGCTCTCACTGTCCTCATCTGACTGTTCTGAAAGTTTCACAATACATTGAAAAATACAGTTTCCAGTTTTGGATTACCAGTTTTTATGCAGAGGGAATGGAAATTATGTAACTGGACATAATTCTTTGAAACAGAAATGGAATTTCCTTACTAAACTAATGCAAAAAACATGTGTCCAAATGGTAAACTCCTGACCTCTCCAATCCCAATGAAGAAAGAAAGATTGGAGATCTTTATAGTTAAATAATCCCATTTACACTAGATTAAATGCAACTCTGGCAAATAGTGTTTCCACCTTTAACCTCAGTTTTTTTAACTGTGGTTAAAATTTTAGAAATATCAGCCAAATTATTTATCAAAAATGACTAGAAAACTATTACTTGCACAACATGGAGAACTTGCACAAAACCACATTCTTAAAAAAAAAATTTAAAAAATCTTTCATTATTCTTAACTTTCAAATAATTTTAAACTGAACACTGGACAATGACTAAAAGGTGTAAGAAAGTCTTCCAATTTATTTGGCTTTCAAAACACAAGGAAAAAACCCCTTTCATTTTTCTTTTCTTCCGTATTTCATGTCTGATACCACAGTCACAAAGACCAATGTCAGCTACCAGTAGTACCACTTTCAGCTCCTGCATCTACCTTGAAATTGGCTTAGTGTAGTTTCCTGTTGCTTCAGGATCATTCTGACTGTGAGGTGCTGCTGAAGAGGATGGTCTTTCCTCTCTATTTAATTGAAATCTACCTAGTAAAGAGGCCATGGTCTGTTTTCTCTGATGGATGGCAGATATTAATTTACTTTGCATACCGAGACATTCAGTGATTTGAAAGACTGTTCAAAAGTGGCAGAGGGCTCAGGATGTTTAATACAGATATTCTGAAAACACCTACTACAGGTCTGAATAAAAGCCATCGTCACTCAGGCATGAGACAAATAACACAGTTTCACTTAACAGAGGAGACAACAAAAGTAATAGCAACCATCCAATATAAGAGTCTACAAAACAAGGCAGAAAATTGGTAGAAGAGCATTTCTTGGAACTGCTTTGGGAATACTGTCAGGTGTTGAACACATTTACCAAAATCAAATGGCAAATTAATTAGCAAAAGCCTTGAGCTGGGTTTTTTTGAGATATGGTCAACCCCATGCTCTATTGGTGTAAAGTGCCTAGCACAATGTCTGACACCAGGACCAGGGAAACACTGAGAGCAGGCCCCTGACCACTAACAGGGCCTAGCTACTGCCTTGCTTATTGGCTCCACTTTGGTTTGTTCCATCAGGCTAATTCCCAGATTACATGCACAAGCGGTTCTGGGGAAAGTCTGCAGCTGCTACTGTCAGGTGGCACTGGGAAGGCCTCCACCCACGGACTTCTAAAGAGTTAGGCTTTGAACCATTCACCCCTGCCCTTATGCTACATCCCAGGAAGAGCACATGCTCTGTGTCTTGTTAGAAAAATTATCACTCAAAATATTTCTAACACTTTGAAAAGATTCACTAAAAGTGACTTAGGGGTCCTGAAGAGGCCAAAGGCCACTTAGCATGCATGTGGCAGTCTGCTTTGAAGGAAGCTAGCCCTAGGCAATGCCAGCTTGAGCCATTCTTACCTTTGTGACAGAAAACATGTATACTCTTCCTTCTTCTTTCTTCAGGTCATTCATAAACATTGGTGCACCCACAAGCAGCACATCTGTCACAGAATCCTTGTTGACATCCACTGAACACACCACACTGCCAAAGTAGGAGCCAATCTGAAATCAGATGAAATGGGTCATGATTGTATGTGGACTTTGTAAAACACGTTTTAGCATCTGACTCAGAAAATGTACATCCAGTAATATTCCAATACAAATGAATGAAACTGCCTGTTGGTAAATGAAATTACTATATAACATAGTCCAGTGTTTGAAGAATCTTATCCTTACCATGGATCCACTGTTTCTGTCCAGTAGCTACTGCTACAGCTTTACCACTCAGCAATACAAATGCCAACAGAGAGTAAGCTATGGGAGGTATATTTTTTATATCTGTGCACATGAATCTACCCAAGCTTTGATCTACTCTCACGTTGTCTTACAGATGAAATCAAACTCACTTCTCTTTTCCAAATAGACAGAAAGAGATTGAGTTTACAGATCTCTATCTTGATGTTGTCTACTTCACAACTTCTCAGGCAGAGTGGAGTTCACTGAGTATCTATATCCCAATTAGAACTGTTGACAGAATGATACATTATTTAGCTTTGCACATTATCTTTTACCACTAACTCACTAGCTTCCTAAAATACTCTTATTTAAGAGTTACAGTTAACCTTGTTGAGATAGTCTAGTGGCAGAGAAAAATGGATTCTAAATGCTTTGCAAGAAAGTGGAATTTTCAAAACAAATTACAATTTACTGCTGGGTCAATAAAATGAGATGCCTAAAAACCTGCATTCATGATCAAAATATACTTGCCTGCTCGCCTGTCTGTGACTGCACAAATGCAATGTTACCACCACTGTCAACCTCATAAACCACCACTCTGCCAGTGTAGTTGGATCTTGGTGCACCAGCAACAAAATAGACGGAGCTCATAGTTGAGAGAACAGCAACAGAATAACCTGGGGTGGAAGCCAACATTTAACATGTGTGAGAGACCATTAATTACAATTCATCAGTTGGTTATCCATAAAGGGCAGAAGATGAGTCAGTCTGGTATGTTAATCACAGAGAATGAGGCTTTCAAGATGGGAAGTTACACTGTCACATATGCATAAAATTTGCAATGTACTTCTGGACAGAACAATGACACACAGATCAAGTTGAAGCAGGTTTGCAGAATAGAGTGGTTTAGCCTATTCAGTAAAACACAGACCACAAAAATGTCATGCTTGTGAAGGAGATAGGAAAAAAAAGCACAAAGAGTATCTCTGGAAAAAAAGCAGCAAAGATGAGATGAACATTTGTGCCAGCCTTCAAACTAGGGAGGAACACCTAGCTTCTGCAAAGCTTGCAGAGCATTTTCCCACAGCTCACCAAACCACAGCCCAGTGCTTTAGCTGAATAGAATAGGCTATATTAATAGCTTGTCAGCTGAAGTGTTGATTGAACTTCTTTGAACATTTTAATCCTCATTACCATTACTCTAACATTATTTACTTTCAGGAAACATTGCTTAATACCTGAAAATATTTTAAACATGTATTAGCTCTATAAATCTAGCATTAGTACATACCTCACATTTCTATGGTTTAATTAGAGCAAATCAAAACAAAATCATTCTGTATAAAATCCATAGTCAAACTGAATAACAAAATGCCAGTGATTGTAGAGAACATGCAGGTCTTTAGCAAGCTGCAGGATAATATGAGGAATAAAATCTAAAGGGATTATGCCTTGATCTTTACATGTACCAGTCTACTTCAGATTTTTGTTCAGACACTGCTTTTCTAGTGTGAGAACATCCTTTGTGACTAGAAGTTCAATGAGCAATAACGAAACACGATTTTATTCTGCAATTTAAGGACACACATTCCTGATGAATATAGCTTGCAACCATTTGAAGTGAGAAAGTGCAGTGCAGAACAGGGGCCAGTCTAGCAAGCTGTCATGTGGTAGCAGCTCTTAAGCTTGTGCTCCCCCAAGCTGGTGAGACAGAGCTTATATGAGAGCTCCTAGTAGGGGACAGAAGGTAGAAGGGAAAGGCAACAACATTGTTTTCTCCAGAAGAGATTGAAGTAAATACTCTAAAACTGACAAGCAGAGAAAGGAAGTGACCTGACCTTTTAAAAATTATTATAAAAAGGAAGTAAGAGAAAGTCTGAAGAGGTTACACATGAAAAAAAGCTACTCCTCATTAGGTTGGGTTTGGATTTATTAATTATTTTGGATTCAAGTAATGCTGAGTCCTCGGGGGAAAAAAGGGTATGTTAGTTGCAAAAATAGCATCTTATTAAATAATTTTAAGGAAATTACAGGTGTTTAATGTAGTAGCATATTCAGGGATAAATCACCAGAGCAGGCATGTTAAAGTTTGCAGAAAACATTTCAGTGAACTGAGAATACAACCTGACTGGCTTTACTGGATCACAAAAACGTGTCAAAGAATACATATGGGGATTATAAATAAGACCTCTATTAAATGGTAGCAATATTTCTAACACTACAAACTGAACTGGAAAAGGCCAAAAAAATAGCACGCACATATGAAACAACAGCAAGTCAATCAGCTTCTCATCCACATGGAACTGGGGAAGAACATACAAATATAACAGAAGGGACCCACAATGATTCACTTAGAAGCTTTTTAAAATCCCGTGATTTATTATGCCTCTGTGACTGTGGTGGTTTCAGCTGGGATATAGTCAAATTTTTTCACAGCAGCTGGTATGGGGCTGTGTTTTGGATATACGCTGGAAACAGTGTTGATAACACAGGGATGTTTTAGCTATCACTGAGCAGTGCTCATACAAGGTCACAGGCTTTTCTGCTCCTCCCTTCACCCCACCAGCAAGGAGGCTGGAGGGTACAAGAATTTGAGAGGGGACACCGCCAGGACAGCTGATCCCAGCTCACCCAAGGGATATCCCATCCCATATGACATCAAGCTCAGCATATAAAGCTGAGGGAAAGAGGAGGAAGGGGGTATGGTGTTGGTGTTTGTCTTCCCAAGTCACTGTTACATCTCTATCTCAACCCACCAGTTCACTCACTTTTACTGTTCCGACTCTCTCCCCCTCTTCACCAAGGGGAGGGAGTGAGTGGTTGTGTGGTGCTTAGCTGCTGACTGGGGTTAAACCACAACAGTGACACGATCTGACTTTTTTTCAGTTTACCACATTGGTATGAGGCGAATTTAATAGCACAGTAAAGATCTGATTCAATGAACTGTTGACCAGTAAATTAAATATTTTTCAACCAAAAATTCTTTTCATATTTCAAATCAGTTTGTAACAGGGATCTGGCTAGAGGAGAATTTTCCAAGTACTTTTATATTTTAACTAAGCTTTGATAAGTTTCCAGATTTGCATTTTAGCTCCTTACCTAGATATGAACTATGATTTCTGTCCTGTAGAATCTTCTCAAACACATGGCTTGGAAAGGTGGTGATTCTGTCTGAGGATTCTTGTACTACTGTTCCACTCCAGTCATAGGCCCCAACAGCACCCAGCAGCAGAACATCCTTTAAAAAAATAAAAGTCAACATTTTAGAACTACCTGATATAGAAAAAGTGTGAGCAAAGTTGCAGTTATCATAGATATTTTTCCATATCACTGTGTTTAAAGCAGTGATGTACAGTCTAAAGACTGCAGGTAGTTGACTGGAGCTGCTTATAGTTGCAGGAATTTACTGCCCTATTAGGAGGGACTATCACCCCTCCACTACAAGAGGATAAGTGACTGCTTTAGTTCCCATGGCATTGCAACTCAAGATAAAATGGGTTTATTTAGACACAATTTCCTAAGTCTGTCCACCCTGGGGTTGGGCTTGCTAAGTCAATGCTTTTATGCACTCATGATCCTCAGAAGACTGAGGATCACGCAAACAAAGCTGTAAAAAAAAGCTAAAGCCCCCTTTTTGACAACAAAAGTGCCAAAGATAGCACACAAAAGCTGATGGAAATAGATTCAGAATTTCATTATGTAAGGAGATGTTCTTGAGAGAACAGTTAAATCTAAACTCCAACAGAATACTTCATACAGAAATACTTAGTCTTAGACTTGCACACAGAAAAGAAACAGTTTAGTTTGTTCGAATTATTAAAATTCTTCACTGAACTCAGATACTGTTACTGAAAACTACAATAAAACTGGACGTGTAATTTTCCTGAAGGAATGTCCAAATGTTTCGTATTTCCTAGCATCAAGTGCTTCATAATTTAAAACTTTAATTTGTGCAAATACGAACAACTTATAAAAATTATTTCATTCATCTTTAAGGGCTATAAAAAAAGATACAATCTTCTTATATTTTCAGTTGAAAACTTCTTGAACTACACTTGAGTTTTACAAAAAGGACCTATTTGGTCAAGATAATCTTATAATTTATTAGCATTAAAATATGTCTAATTTTTGTTCTTTCTAATTTCTAAATGAAATATAAAGAACTATTATTAATTTTATAATTAATAAATATTTTCAGACTTGATTTATTTATGTTTTGGTGACTTCCTAGATATATACCAGACTTAGAATGTAGTTTCAATTCTTCTGAGTTATTCAACTCCAGACACAAACATGGAACAGTTGATTTTTTCCTGCTACATGAATTCAGAAATCATGGAAATCATTGTGTTAACACATCTCAAAACCACTAAATGAAAGAAACTGTTATTCAACTTCATATATTAATATATAGTTTTTCATTTTAGAGTTATACACCATCTATTAGTGGCATTCAAGTACAGGAAAAATGAAAAGGATAACTTGATATTCACTCACTTTTAAAAAAGATCTTAAAATTGGACATTGTGCTTTATTACTCTTATTTCATTGCACTCATGTCTACATAATTATATCTACTCATATCATTAAATAATTATATTCACATACCTTTTTTTGTGAGTAATACGCACTGAAGCCCACTTGGGACATTTCCATTTGGAAAGTATCACCTTGATCTGTACCTGGTAAAATGGATATCCACATATAGTTAACCCTTTAGAGCCACACAAGACCCAATCTTGCTGCCTCTGAGTTTAGCTATATAGGGTCTGTATATATCCAACAATTCTGCTAAAACATTTACAAACAATGGAAATCAGAGCTGGGAAACTATAGAAAATTTGGAGGATTTAATGGGAAATGATAAGATGGAGCCATAATGCTATAAATCTCTTAAAAAGAAAAAGGCAGAAGATGATGATAAAGACAGTTTGAATCAGCTTGCACAGTCTTGTCACTGTCTTTTTCTGTTTCCTAGGAAGCATTAATAATACACTGAAATTAGCACCTTAAATGACTGTATATTCACAAGTTTCAAACAGAATATGAATGTAGGACTTATACAAACTGTTGTAATTGTCTTGAAAAATACTGTGACATCTGGGAATATTTCCCAAAGTAGATGGATGGGAATTCAATGAGAGTACTCAGGAAAACTCAAGATGGGGAGCTCAACCTATATTCTTGCTTTGACTACCACCATAGGACCGGTAAAGAATAGATGGGGTGACAGAGAAAGAAGTTCCATCCTGAGCACAGGAAAGTTGCAGCTCCTTACGGAGGGCTGGGGGCAGATTACACGACTTCAAAACAAGGTCTGAATTTAAATAAAAATTTAAAGGCTGGCTTTGGGGGGACAAAGTGTCTCTGAGTCACCTCTGCAACATCTTACTTCAAACAGTACACAAAAGTGTGGGTGATGCTAGGGATGGAGCCTGGTAGGCATCACACAGATTGCACTACTGTAGCTTTTCAGTTCCAGAATCAGTAAAGCAAGTCTTTCGGTTTTTTAAATTTACAGTTGTTTAGTATTCACACAGGTACAGCAGACAAGCATAAAGATGATGGTAATAGTTCCAAATACATTTGGACACATATGGACAACCCCTATGCCTGAAGCCCATGATGAATTTATAGAAATTTTCATCAACTGGGGAACGTTTTCCACAAACTGCAGAAATTAACTTGAAGCTTGGGATTATTAGGGGTGAAGTAGCTGGAGGAACACCTGTGCAAACCAGAGCCTTCCTGGTGAGCAGGGAGTAGCCTGCAGCTCCAGCTGCCTCTCATTTTCACAATCCTACTCTAAGCTGAAGCTAAATAAAATTCTTAGCTTGTCAGCTGGCAAAATGTGATCTAATTTTTCATAGACACTGAGTATTTTACCTTCTATACTAAAAATGCGCTCTCCAAGTGTTCCTGCTTCTTCCAGCAGTGCAGCCTCAGATGACACATTGAAGAAATACTTGTCTGTTGGATGACTAGCAATTCCCTTGATTTCTTTAATTAAGTTTTTAGTATCAAGTTCATGCCTGATTAAGTATCCCAAAACCTTGGGTAAAAAACAGCAAAATGAGAAGAGTGAAAGAAATCATAGTGTTTCCCCATTTCCTTCTGTATTATTTGAGCAAATATTCTACATATTAAAAAAAAAGAATTACCTTCATTCATATTACTGAATCGTTTATCAGACTGTATTCCTATGCAAGGGAGCATTCAGACAGGAATAATATATAACACATGGCAAAAGAGAAAATTATTTAAGTTGCTCAGGCAATACTAGCATTGCTCTTTCAGCCAGTAAAGAAGACTAGTATTTCACTAGTATTTCACTTATTTAATTTCAGTCTCACCAGTGCAACAATGAATGCATTATATACCACTTATGTATAGAACATGCACTTTCGTACAGGCACAACAAAACAATCTTTAAAAATTGCAATATTATATAATTTTAGTATTACTTACAGCAATGCCAAATCTGGTTATATTGTCTTCATTGCATTTACCTATCACTGTTTTCAGGTTGGAGCCATCATGTGATTCACCATCTGTCACAACAACCATTACTTTTGTGGCTGCTGGACGTCCTCCTGATTCAGGTGAGAAGGCGTATTGTCTGTCATAAAATACATGTCAGTCTACAATGCATGGAATTCAGTATATATACTGTAATGAATACGTCCATCACTGACTTGGAACACGGTGCTTCTGCAGTGAATTTTTCTTTGTGCATTAACATTCTGCAATAAGAGTTTTCACCTATGTGCCTGATAACTTCTTCACAAACCACTGCTCAAAGAGCCATAAGAAATGTACAAAGGATTAGAAGGAAAAAAAAGTAGGACTGGAAGAACTGGATGGTATTTCTGACAGAAATGTAAATTCCCTGAAAACCTGAATATTTTTTTTTTGTAAAAATATTCCTAAACAAAAAGAGGGTTTTGTTAGAATACTCAAGTTTTATGACACCAGGAGTTGGTATCACCAAGTTCAGACAAAAGTGGAGGAGAATTAATAATAGGCTCCTCAGTACTACTGGAAATATTTACTCTATTGATGGCTGAGACTCCTCTTAAACGAATTTTCAAGGCCATTTGATTCAGCATGCATTTTGGCCTAGAGTTCTACCCTTGATTCAGCTTAAAAACAGCATCTTCCTGTTGAAAAACAGACCTGGTTTGTATACATATTCAGAGCCACAGAACATTGATTTAAGCTTTTCCTACTTTTCATGCTGCTGGTGCTGCAGTGACAAACTGACAACAAAGAGATTTTCTTTTCTCTGCAATCAACCAAAGCCTGACCTGCAAAAACAAATCTTTCAGGCCCCACTGAAACTCTGGATAAACTTCTACTTCTTTCAATGGTTTTGAATCCTTCCTAAAACCTTGTCCATTGTGTTGATGCACTGTCACGTTTAAACATGTGTGACAGAACAAGCAACTCTGCTGGGTACCAGAATTACATTAGTGTAATGTTTAACAACATGCTTTTCAGTAAGTCTAGTTTACGTATTCCTGTACCATTCTGAAATGCAGCTGGAGGATTCTGCCTACCACTGGGAACCTACTCAGAGGCCCTGAGCAAATTGTCTACTAGTGGGAATGAAATCAGGATGCTCTCCTTGCTGTTTAAGGTAAGTTACAATAGTTGCACAGTAATAACCAGTGTGTCCCACCTTGCATTGTCAATAGCTTTGAAAGTATTAGTGAGATCTCCTCCCTTCTGAGATGTTCTCTCCATTGCTTTAACAACCTCATCCTTTGTTTGATACGTATTCAAGTTGAAGACTACACGGGGATCATTAGCATACTGAATTAAACCCACCTATGCAATAAAAAAATTATGTTAGACTATCATGAATTTCAATTAGTTACATAGAACCACAATGCTTTTATCAGGCTGGAATAAAAGCCCTGCAGATGCATATGAGGATATAATTTTCTTTCAACACATACAAAACCAATTAATATTAACACATGGAAAACAAAGAAAACTAAAATGCTCTTGCACCTTTATCATTTATTAGGGACCTATATATGTTAACGCAAAAATATGAAACACCAAACATTAAATGTTTGCTTGGTTACTTCTGAAAGAGCTTATGGATAGTAATAATATACGGAGCTCTGGGAAAAATAAGAAAATAGGAAAAATTCTACAAGCTGACAGCACCTCACTCTGATCTCTTCTAAGGAAGTCCTAAAGGTTCGTTACTTTGCAGCATTGCAAACCCTATTTATTTTTAATATAGGGTTTAAAAAAAAAAAGAGAAGGTGCTAAAGGTGAGGTTCAGAAAGAAGGAAGCCTAGCTTTTAAGCACCTCACTTCCCAATAATCCCAAGGAAGAAGGTAGTCTTTGGGAGAGAGATTTCCAATGCCCCAGTCTTTATTCCCAGAGCTCTTTATGGAAAATGGACAACTGTAAAGACAGAAGGCAATAAAATTTTCCTTACCATCATCAAATTAAAAGGAAAATAGAACTCGAAGATCAGTTAGTAACCCAGAAGGAAAAACTCCTATTTTAAAGATGCAGTAGTTGGAAAGTAAGAGCTATATGAAAGCCCATTAGAAACCTGTTCTACTTTAATCTGATTCCAATAGACTATATTTTAACTATTTTTGCACCAAATGTATGAAAGAGATCTGACTCACCTATGTATAACCTAGACTTCTACTTCAGTTGGTTTATATTTCAAATTAAATTACTAATTCCTTTTGAAATAGGTTAGCTGGGAGGTAAAATCCCCAACACTGAATAGATTAATTACATAATCTGTGGCTTTGGGGGAGCTACTGTAGTTACACTAAATCACATTTGGTTTCTTTTAAAATTGGTTGGTGTGGTGTTTTGTGGGTTTTTTTTGTTGTGTGGTTTTTTTTTTTTTTTTTTTTTTTTTTTTTTTTTTATTTTGTCTTTCTCAAATATGCCTTTGACTTACCTGGGTCTTGTTAAGGCCTATGTCTAGGCCTTGTACAAATTTTTTCAAAAATGCCCTCACTGCATCCCAGGGATAAATGCTGTTCGACTCATCACAAACCACAACAATATCTATAACAGAGGAACACTCTGAAACAAAAACAAAAAGTGGACATTAAATGCACTTGCAGTCTCAATATACTCCTCAGCTAAATCCAGGGGTTTATTTATTTATTTAGGTCTCACACAAGAAACACTTCAGATCAGAAGGCTTTGCCAGAATGAGGACTCAGAAGAACCGTACGCAGGTTTGGAGCCTGGACTGGTGCAATGCCTCTGAATACAGAGGAGCAAGATCATATTCACATCAGCACTGGGTCATGATTTGTCAGTCCTTATGTATCCATCACAGGACTTTGCTTTTGGCACATACATTTTTTCAGAAATCAAAATCAACTGTCCTCAACACAATGTAGCTTGACTTAATTTGATATGGGATTTTTTTTGTTGTTGTTGGTTTGGGGTGGATTTTTTGTTTGTTTGTTTGTTTTTAATTGAATCTGTTTTGCACACGTTTCCTTACTTTGAACAGCAGGAGAAAAGCTTCTTAGGATCTGGAAACTTGGACTGATTTCAGAACAAACTCCCGTTGCATAGTATTGTCTTCCACACTGCTGTGCCCACAAGGGACCACAAGTCTTAAAAACAACAAAAAAAGAAACTATAAAAATAACACAGTATTTATCTCACCGTATCTACATGCAAACGCATAACAAGCAGGCCTAGAGGCATATAGGTACAAACCCACAACAAGGAGGCTAGAAGCACGTAAGATTAGGGGACCCCTCTTGGGTTACCAGGCCGAACCTCTTCAGTCAGTGTAGCCGCTCTCACAGGCCTTCCCACGGGGAGGCTTTCCTAGCCGGGGTGATCCCAGTCCCGCAGGATGGGCGCAGATTTCCCCGTCCCTCGCTGCCAGCCCGGCCAGGGGGTCCCCCCCGCGCCGCCCAGGCCGCGCTGCGGCGCCGCCCGCGGCCGGCAGGTGGCGGCAGCGCCCCGGGCACGGGGCTGGTGGGACAAGGCGGGCCGAGAGCCCGGCCCTCACGGCCGCGCCGGGGGGAGCCGCGCTCCCAAGGGAAACTCCCCTTGCCAAAGTATTTACCAGGTAAACGACATCAGCTCCAGTGAGAGGGCAGCCTCACAGTGAGCGCTGCCCCCTGTTCAGCCACACTAAAAGAAGTTTGACCCGGCCTCACACGCCCCTCGGCTACATGTTTCATTGCCTTTTGGGGGAAATAATCCCACTTCCCTGATGAAAACCATCTCTGTAACAGGACATGAGCTGGCCGCATGAAAACCACAACTCTGATATCAGAAGAGTAGGTACGAAAGCACCTGGATAAAAAAAATACGAAGACTGTTTTGTCATGAGGGTGGGGGGGCAGCTAGCTGTAGATGTGTACGGTGGCGGTATATTTTAAAAGAAAATAATATTAGGACTCGGGGGAAAAGAAAAAGACACACAAAATGAAACACCTCTACATAACCTTTGTCCAACAGTTCTGATGGCTTCCTTATATATACTTCCTTATATATACTCTCTGTATATATATATATATATACTTTTATATATATATGTATATAACATATATATATAATACTTATATATACTCTCTGATTGCCCCAGTCAGGAGAGTCTGGTAAACAGAGGATGCACCATCTCTATTTAGGAAGAGAAGAGAGGGAAAACAGCAGTATCACCCTTTTCTCAAGAATATTGCAGTGGGGGAGTGAGAGTGGAAGGGAACGTAATTAAGGTCAAAAGTAAATGGACACTATCCTATGTGTGACTAACCTGTCACACATCCCACTGTCCTAAGATATTTGACCAGAAATCAGATTTTGTGGACGAGAAGAAGGAAGTGTATCTACATTCTCAGATCTTAAGTGCTCTTTTTAGCTGCCACATAAGGGATGATTAGTTTTCACTGGAAAAGACAGATTTTTGAGAGGTAAAGTACAAAATAAGTCATCTATATTGGTAACTACAAATCTGGAGAAGAGCTACTGGTCTTTAAAGTTCTTTTGAGATCAATCTCATTTGCCCATTTTCTAATTTTCTTCTGTATTGGTAGTAATTCAAAACTCTGATGTCACTATTGGAAGAAAAAGCAAAAATGTTCTAATAATCTTGGCTGATCTTCACTTAAAAAAAATGGGGAAAACTCTAATGTTCTAGCATTATTACAGTCAGAAACTTAAGATGTATCATTAATGCAGGGAGATCACATATCAAGGACTGATGAACTTGAAAGGTGGAATACTAGAAAGGCGCACAGACTTGCCCTTCAGGACTTATGTTAAGAAATATGGACATAAACAGGAAGGTCATTGAATGGAAGAGAGAGAAGCAGACACTGGCTGATTGCAGATGACCATACGCACACAGCCAGCACGCAAAGCAAATACGGCTTAAAGATGTGTGACAAGAACCACTTGCTGTTGAGCTGGGGAAATACCAAATACTATACAGTTGTAGTGTCCTGGAAAGACTCATGTGGAATACGAAATAGATATGGTCATTCCTGTTTGAGAGAGGTTTATTTCAAAAAGCACATTTCAGCCAAAAAATTCCATGTTTGTTTAGCAAAGCAAAGGACAAAGGAGAGCGACTGTGAGGTGTCAAATACAGAAGGGAGATTTTCCATGCAAGTAGATGGGAGCTGTCTCTTTCAACTAAACCAAAAACAAACCGATGGAAGCTTAAATGAGAAATCCAAAAAAATGTTGTTAACCATCAGTGAAATTCTTAAGCATGTCTCCAACAGGACGAAGCATGCCTCAGAAAAATGTAATGAGCATGTGGGGAATGACTGCCCTGTACTTAGGATACCTGTGGGAAGCATTCACATGGCATCAAACAGATGAACCAGCAGAACTCATGAGCTACGGCACAGACTCTACAGGCTGAGTCCTGCCCCAGGCATGGGGCCTGGGCAAGCAGCAAATGGATGGAGACAGAGAGGGAAACAGCCACAGGAGGAAGGAAAACAGTGAGCTAGGAGGAGGAAGCCCTAAGCACAACCCAAAGAGCCCATCACAAAGGCCAGCTGCTGCAGAGTCCCAGAGCAAAGTCCTGGCTGGCAGCAGTGTGCAATTATGAGCAGGCATTCTACCCGCGTAGCCCAATACTTGCCACAATTGTGGGCTTTTGGTATTTGTTGAGGCTGATAAGCACCTGTCCCATTCTCCATATGTCAAAAAGAACTCCTGTTGCCAAAGACATGGCTGTTCATCTAACCAGTCAACCTTTCTTTTTATTTTTACTTCATACAATTTAAGGACAGTCAATCAGTAACACATAGATCGGGAAATTCTTTTTGACTGAAAAAAGTTAAAATATTATTAGAAAATAGAACCTTTCCCGCATGAGACATTTTCAAACACTGCAATTACTGATACTGATTAAAAATGGGTATTCATAGAACATCACTAACAGTAATTAAAAGTATTACTCAAGAGACAGAATAACTTTTTTTTTTAATCAGTACTTTCTTAAACTAAAAATCTAGAAAAGCACTCTTGCTGTAGTTTGAAGTTATGAATAACTTTACTAACTGCAAGAGTGTTGGAATTAGGCCTACTTTTAAGTACTTCAGTGAACTGGACTATGTGTTAACGAATATAATAAATATTTGAATACTTTTGTGATTACTAGGAAGATACAACTGAAAAATACAAAGCTTAAAGAGAATCTCAAAGCTCTTTTATCTGTAATTTATTGTTCCACTTATTTACTGCAAATGGCTACAATGTACACATCAACTGAAATACACCTATACAGCAATAGTTATCATGCTTATGGTTAGGATTATATAAAAAAACATACTAAACAGACACTCACTTCTTTCAGTTAAGAAATCTGTTTCACAGGCTCCAAGGACAGTGGTTTGCAGCACATACACACAGAAAATGCATCCTCCTCCAGCTCACTAACCAAATGAAACACTTCTTAAATCCATGGGACTAGAAATCCTAACACCTCAGGAGGATAGTCCCTATGCAATTGCATATGTTGGAGGAGAGATAAGATACAGTCTTTTGAAACACAATCAGAACTATAAAAGATTCCCTTAAAGAATATAATGGTGGTAATATTACTGCCTATATCGTCCAATTTATATTACTGAGTCTTTATTTATAAGCCCTTCCACAGGTTGTTTAGATAAATTACAAAGGAGAAGTTTCACACTTTTCCTGATTTTGGACCCCAGCTAATGACAGGGGTAAAGGATATTTTAAAATATGCAAAAGATGTACCAATCTGTACTACCCTATCAAATGCTAATAAAATATATTTAGCTTGGACTTATAAAAAATGTAGAGAACTCTGGTTTCTTCATTCCCCTCAAGCATTTCTGTGTATACTGAATACAATGTCGATACATACCAAAAATCCTCCTGTTTTTGAGTTCTGTATCAGAGTCAAGCCCAGATTCATGTCTTCCTTTATTTCAGTCACATTTGGAATATTTATTAAAGCTGAAATAAAATGAGATTAAGTAATGACAGAATAATAATAAAATGTAGAAGCAATTTAATAAGTTAGAATTCCTTTACAAAAACTTGATTTCTCAGAATCTAAGGTGCCTTTTCCAAATGGCTGCATACAATTCTGAGACAAAAGAAACAAAAAGTAATCTTTGTCAAAAAATTGCAAGCCATTAACTATAGAGATGAATCAAGTATGGCCATTTAGAGTATCTGCCTTCAAGAAAGCTGAAGGCAAAAGAGAAACACACTACCTGTTGCCTATTTTTGGCTGCCTGAGTAGCTGCAGCTGAACAGCTACTGTTACATTCCTCAGGACATTCTGATTCAGTTATCAGGCTGTAGACAAAAACTTGGAAGGGGGGTGGAGGGCAGAAATGCTCTGCACCACAAAGAAACATAAAGTAGGCATCTCAGCATGCTCTGCTGTCCAACATTTTCACTGTATCGAAATGTGAACTCCATTTTATACTGTTTGCAAACACACAGACATACCCCCGTACCTGGTCTGGGGAAGACAGGGACACTCATCATCCCAGCAGCCCACCCCAGGATGCCAGCAAGGAGCCCTTCAATGACACACAGCCCTGGCTCAGATGGCTTTGGGACCTACACCATTCTTGCTCCATGTCTGGAGGTTCAAGACCCCAGGGGCGACACTGAGACCCCAGTGCCTCCAGCAGCTCAGACCCTCAGTGCCTCCACAGGCCAGAAGCCCACACCCTGGCCTGACTCAAGTTGCCAGCACCAATTATGGCTCAGACAGACACTGGTCTTATCAGCAGCTGGCACTGAGGGCTTGCAGTACACACACACACATCCCCCCACAGAGACTAAGAGAGAGCTAGTTAAGAAAAGTTTTAATAAGGGTAGATTGTCATCATACAAAAACAATTGAAAACTGAAAAATTGCAGCAAGACATTATAATATATTAATAATATATATAATAATAATATATAAAATATATATAAGAATATAATTATAATGTTATATATTACCTTGTAAATTCAATTTTTTACATGTTGCTTTGGATGTACCAACAGGACATGCATAAATATCTCCAGTTCTGTTAGCAGGATAGCCACTCCAGGGTGAACCAACCAACAACCTAAAGTAACATAAACTTCATTAGGTCCTTAATGATACTGGGAAGTTCAGCAGCATCACTGCACCACAGATAAGAAATAAAGAGGCTTTCACAAGACACAGCACCTAGGGCATTCAGGAGTAGGAGTCTTCTCCAGAACTGTGCAAAAGCTTTACTTCCATCTCAATACACTGGATTCACCAAGGGCAGCTTTGGCGGAGAAGAAGAAGGGAAAAAGCCTTTGGGGATCCAGCTGCCTCAAACATGTACCGTTTTTTTCTGTGACAATATGTCGTAGGTTAGAAGAAATACAGCAAAGATATTAATATGTATAGATACATAAAAATTTTAAAATATATATGTTGGAGATTGAGAGACAAGTTACTTACTGTTCTATCAGTTAATCATTAACTGATTCCTTTTAAGTTATTCTTTTAATGATAAGAAACATTTTCTATAGGATCTGCTCAGCAATAGTCAAACACTTCTGTCTGAGCTTGAACAATACCACACCTTGATAACACTGAGTCATAAAGAAATAACTGCAGGTGGTAACAATCTGCTACATGAAGTCTGTAATCCTGAACAAGAAATTTAAGACTTTTGATAATTTGTGCCTGCAACACAAAGTGATTCATGTTCTCTGACTCATTTCTTTATCTGCCATAAGGTTTTCCCTCCAGTATCTGCTCCTCAAGACTCCTCTGATTTTTATGTGAAAGCCTTCACAAAAGTGTTATTTCATCTCCTGGCCATATTGCTTAAGAACACCTATTTTTCAACACAATTATCTGAAAGAATGAAGATGATCTCAAGGGATATTAAAAAAATGAAAGAGATGACCGAAAAGCAGGGACTGGTTATTTTCTCCAGCAACAACATGATTTTTCTTTTCAAACAGAACAATCCATGGGAGTAATTAATGCATTTTGGGGATAGCAAAAGGACAAGCAATGGAGCCCCAGTATAGAATATGGGGTTTCATTAGAAACCATCTTTTTCAGTTGGTCAATACGTTGCTTAAAGCAAAACTGTTGTCCTGTAAAATTTTATAGGCAGTTAATTCAAATATACTTTGCACTATAAAACCCCCTCAAATTTTCTGAAATTATTATATTTCAAAGTAATTGCTATATATCATATTACCTTTCCAGGGATAATCTGATTTTACTGTTGCAATTTTATAATGAGTTCGAATAAAATGGCTATGACAAAAATATATAGTTTCAGATGCACAAGAAAGAGTTTGAGACATTCTTAGCTTTCTCAAAGAGCACACATAACGTTATTCTGTTTACTAGTTCAGGTGGGGATTCGATTTCAGATTCTACATCTTGTGTGAATATTTTAAAAATGCCTACCTCCTTCTCAATTACCTTGTTCAAAAATGGTGATTTATGCAGCCTGCAGGAACACGATTCTGTGTACTTCTAGCATCTCTAAACATGCAACTCAGGTTCATATAGATACCTTTATATTTATATAAAAAAAAGGTATGTTACATTAGCTGCAAGGAGCCTCTGATCTTGTTATTTTCTGAGTCTGTCTGAGCCATTTCTGCACAGTGGAAACCAGAAACATCACAGCTCTGGACCAAATAACCAGAGTTCATGAGAAACTACTCCACTGGTCATGTGCCAACCAATAACATAACCTGCAAACACTTCAGTGACACAGAGGGCTGGAGATGTTCACAGTGACTGACTGGAGGAAGATACGGTGTTGTGCTCTCCTGCTTTGTTAGGTATTATGGCGAAAGATACTGTTATAAAATGGGAGAGGGAGGGCTAAGAGTTTTCATGGAAACAGGAAACAGTTTTAAATGGATAGCAATGCTGCCTGTGCAATATCTGAAACTAGATGAGCTTTTCAGCACTAACTGTCCAGCTGGACATTGCACTGTGTACATTTATAAATACTTGCATGTTTTCTAAGTTTCCCAGAAGGGAAACATATTTCAGAGTCCTTGCAGGATGACAGCTACTGTTCAAAGAATTACTTTATGTCTTGGAAATAGCCCCTCCAACCACCCCATCTGGTCATGAAACTCACTGTAAATCTCTGCACTGTGCTGGCATTGCTCTGCAGCTACAGGTTATCCTGAGTGCCCAAAGCATGTAGTTTCACTCATAAACAGAGAGAGTACCAGAGGAGAGGAAGAGAAGCATGCTAGACCACTGTCTGTCGCAAAGCTAAGCCCAATTCCAGGTCTAACTCCAAGCCCTACCCCAACCCTCACCCTTGCTAGTGACATAAACTCTAGAGACAACCATCACCCACAATTTGCTAAAAGCAGTTCTCTCCCTTTCAGCATGCACACTTGTGCTCATCCCATGAGCTTTATTTGGCTCCCATTTTCCCCAACCTCAACACTAATTCCAACCCAAACTTCTGTTTACACTGAGGAACCATCTCTCTTTATACCAAATCCCCTTCTAGACCTTAATATTCAGATGAGAATTTTACTTTTGCTAGCCCTGAACCTAACCTTGTAGTTGTTCCATAATACAAACAGGAAAATGTAGGATAAACAAGATGAACTTTCCTAATTTTAAACCAAATTTAAATCTATGCCAACTGTGCCCAAAATAAACCTAATTTTGTCTTTCATTTAGCTTGTACTCCTCATAGTTCACTGGAAGTTATTTTATTAACTAATTCTGCTGTATTTCTAGTAGATTTGCAGGGTCTGTGAATCTCAATGTCCACCTATGTTGTAGGTCAAAAAATGCCACTCCACAGAATTTAACACTTAGAACTATTACTATTTTCAGAAACAAACAGACCTATTAAACTCCTTCTGTTATTTGACTTAATTAGCCAAACTTGTCATCAACACATGCCTGAGAAAAAGTTATTAACGGACCTATGCCAAGCTTAGCCCTCTACTTTTAAGCCAATCTTAAAAATCCTAGGAAATAATTATTATTTCTCTCATATGCTGTGCCTTACTTAAGCTTAATACCAGCCTTAATCTATATTAGAAATCAGGAAGTCCCACTTGCCTTTGAAAATTAACATACATCATTGCAGTAGAGGGTTACGCAATACTGCTCTGCAAAAATGCACGTGTATCTTTCTGAAACACCAGAAGTGAAGACAGTATGTGGCTACCATCCTGCTAACTACAAAAATATTTTTTACTGTGATAAAACAGGATGCACATAAGGCAAAGTGAAACAAAATGTATTAGGAAAGAATGCAAGAAATGAGTACTAAAATACTTAAAAACACTTGTTTCCAAATAAACTGTCTCATGTACAATGTATTAATTAAGGGTCTTTTTCATGAGTTAAAAATATTTATTTTTACAAAACTTTCTTATGTGTCCTTGCAGACTGTCTTTACATAATGCTATAGTGAATATAATGTAATATTGCCACTGATTTTATTATTCATCTCCTTAATCAGTCTCCAAGACTGTATACAAAGCAATGGAACTACATGAAGTCAAATAAAGTTCAGCAGCTATGCCCTACCACACAAGCTGCAGGAGCGGCAGATCAAAGTGCAACAGGAATTATTTCTGGGAAATTACACCATGACAAAGCTAGTAATGTGTGATGTAGCAGAAAGAAAAATAAGAATTCATAGTGAAGGGCTGAATCCCAGCTGTTGTCAGAGCATGTTTTATATTTTCCAGTTTGGTGGTTTTTTTGGTGGTGTTTTTTTTTTTTTTTTTAAACTTTTCGTGCATTTGCTCTTTATTGCATATTGGTTTTGGGTTTTTTTCCCTAAACGCAAAGATGAGCAAGAGGAAAAAAAGTAGAAAGGATATCTTAAATCATCTTGCCCTTTTTCCTACAATTACAGGAAGCGATGAGTAGATATGAAGAACAGAAAACTCTTCACTCTCATAGATGCTTCTCTCCCTAAAACACTTCTCACCATCTAAAACTTTTGATCCTTTTGAAAAAAACTCAAACCTTAAAAACCTACAGCAAGGTATGACAAGAAGGTCTGACTGCTAAACTTGAAAGTCTAGAAAACAGCAGTCAGAGCTTCTGCAAGCAGGAAAAGGGCAAACTGCATTGCATGCAGTCAGGGAAAGCAGAAGCTGGGTAAAGAACTCAGCTTGTTGTGCAGATAAATTGGAGCTGTAACAATGGTAGCTTTCTGTTAAAAAAAAATTAAAAAAAATTACCCTCCTCAAAATAAATGGCCCTCCTTATTAAAATCAGAAAGCTTTGAAAATGTACTGATTTCAACAGAAGTTGCCAAAGAAACATGTCTTCTTGGGAAAATATCTTATTGGTCTGAAGACACAACACAGCATCTCAGGAACTGGCCACTGTATTTGATAACTAGTGAGCAGAATGCAATGATTTTTAAAACTATATTGTAGTGCAATAATTATGTGATACATCAGTAAAGTGCACTGCACATTAAGGTGTCATTACTGACATATGGGATGAAACAAAATATTTTAAGAAGAAAAATCCCATAACATAAATTCAGAAACAAAATTTAAAAAAAATCCCGAATTCTAAGCACGCAGGCACAGCTGAGCATATGTCTGAAGACACAAATGGCTAGGAAAAAGCATTTTAACAACTATATACAGCTATTCAATCCTCCTCACCTGAGACAGACATAAAACCGACTCTCAGCATGGAGTAAGTACTGTTATCTTTTAAGAATGTACTGTCAGCTTCTGCTGAGGGCATGCACATTCAAGATGAACTGACAGGGTACATTCTGGCTTTCTAAAAGATTATGTTTCAAAATAACAAGAGATTTTGGTCTCAGTTTAAGATTCAAATAGAGATGACCTCACAACAGGGAGAACCAGAGGGTAAACTGAATGATATTTCTGTGGTGGCTGATTACTTGTGTGGTGGACTGCTTAAACTTTTCTAATTGATGAGTTTCTTTGGTACAGTTTTCCTTCGGTTCATTATAGAGCTCCTGTTTCGAAATTCCCACCAGACACTGTGAAAAGCTTGAGCTTTGCTTGACTTGCAAGTTTGTCCTTATTTTATGAGCATCACATGCCATCAATGCCCATCAGTGCACAGCAGACTGGTGCCCAATTATCCTGGATCATCTGACTCTACAAAAAAAGGCTCCCTTGTTGGTTTGTGTCACAGCGTCCCAACATGTACCAGCCCCTTCAATAGTCCTGTGCTTCTGTTTGAACTGTCTTGGCTTCTTCTCTCTGAAGTTATCTCCAAGCAAAGGTGAAAACATCCTGGTGCATGCAGTTCTGCAAAAATTCTTCTCTTTTTCATTTTCTGTAACTTTTATTGACTCAGGAGATGCACCTCCCAAAAATACTGCTGAATAATATAACTAGCATCTGCTGTATATCTTTATCTCTTTTCTACTCTTTGAGAGAATACAGGAGGATTTTTAAAGCTGTATTTTTACATAGCACCTTGTGCAGAGATGGTACCCCAGCAGCATTTGGTATGATGAGCAGCCCTACTTACTGTGCCTGGACAGAGTTTTCAGGTACTTCACATTCTTGCTGCACAATGATGATCTCTTCAGAAAAGCATATGATGATAAATGCTCCCCTCTGACAGGGAGTATCACCAGGATCTTATGCAAGCTGAGAGTGTTTATCTTGCTCCCAGTTCAGCCATGTCAACAAGCACTCTGTGCATGGACTGCAGCCTCTGCATTGCTTATAGAAGAAAACAACAAGTTTTCTGTTTGGTTTGGGGTTTTTTTTGATTGGTTGGTTTTTGTTCTTTGTGTGTGGTTGTTTTTTTTTTTAAAAACAATGCACACAGGAAAGAAAATGTAGTGTCACGAGAGAAAGAAAATAGCCTAGAAATCAAGAGAACATGAGAGTAAACTATGACTCACTTTTTTTTTAATGCTTGTCTAATGATTTAGAGAGACTGAAAGGAGCTTTTCTTCACTGAAGAGTCTCTAACAAATCCTAGTTACTCCAACGTGAGCTGATAAAATCTCCCTGAATTTGAAGCTAGGTCAGGCATGATGCAGTAAAATAACTAATGATGATGGGCCTATATACACGCAAGTTTACCGGATTCAAAATATTCATATACTTAGGAGAAGACCGGTTGAACGCAATGATCTTAAAGGTCTTTTCCAAGCTAAAAGATTCTATGATTCTGTAAGATAGGAAAAGTTAAACTGAAGTTACTTTTTTTCCCCAAAACTCCAGCACACATTACCCAGATAAGTGGTAGTGGAGTAGGTTTTATATCTGAAGTAAAAATAAAAGAGGGAAATCTAAAACATAAATAGCTTAGGTGAGTCAGGCACTCATTGCTTCTGCCACAAGCTTATAGAAAAACTCACAAGAAGTATAAAAAACAAGACAATTTCTCCATGTGTGAGGCAAAAGCATTCAATTCACTTCAGGCAGACATTTTTGTTCTCCTTCAATGCCTTTATACAGAAGTTAGGGTTTATTTTTTAAAAAAGAGATCTCTGATCCATGGGTGACTAAACATAATTAAAGCAGGCAGAAACACAGTGAGAAGCCACCACAGCATCAGATGGGGGATGGGGTTGGCTGGAAGGCTACCCAACAGAAGGAAAGCAAAAGCCAAGCTTTTAATTCAGAGGATACAGCTCTGCTCTCCTGCTTTCTCCTGGTCAGTGGCAGTAAACACAGCAACACCAGTGAGATGCAGGTTGTTGGACGCATTTGCGTGTGCAGCCAATTGAACTGCGCAGCGCCCCTGCGCAGTGCTATGCACAAATGCCTCAGCTGGCTCAGTATGGGCTTTTCCAAACTTCAGCTGTAAAATACACTTTCATGTGCATTGCCATGGATTTCAGATTTTGACATCTTAATTTCTTTTTACTGAATATGGTTCAATTACTCGGTATCCATCTACTGTCACTATCTATGAAAGATGAGAAGTTTAAAATGTCTCAGCTTATGACAATATATATTATCTTGTGTGGTTTTCTACTGTAGACTTAAAACCACGTACACACAAGTAACCACATAAGAGTTCAGTTCTTCTCAACTACTTTTATAGACATATAGTCCTTACCATGACAGATACCTTAAGCTTTGCGGCTGCTGAGACTGCAGAAGAGGAAACAGTGTGTCTTTCGCTAAATATGCTTACTCCGTGGTAGTATGTTAAAGTTCTTTTTGAAACCAACATTGCTAGAAAAATATTTTACTAATTGCTCATCAAGCCCAATATTATGGCAACAGTGGATTTCAGGTCAAATTCTATGGATGAAGAGATGTAGCAGAACAAGGCCTTTTGCTAGGATTGTGTTATTACCTCTGTCCAAATATACCATCCTTTGACAAGCAAACAGTTAATACTGTATCAGACACAAAATTATACAGATTTAAGTTAATTTAATTTTAATATTAATAATTACAACTCCCCAGCCCTAATAATTTGTTTTAACCTCAACAATATTAAAGTGGAAAAAATACGCCACATATATGTAAAATGTAATAAAGAAGCTATTGTTACAGGAAGGAGTGAAATGAGAGTTAAAATTCTACAGAAATTGTAGGCCTGAGAAAACTGTGTTTGGAGATCAAAGTAAAAGATTAACAGAAAGAAAACTTCAGATTGCATAGTGTTAAGAAAAAAAGCCGGACTCATCACACACATGTCTTTAGAATATCTCAACTTTTAATAACATTAAGTATTTTTTAATAAAAAAATAACTGTAATATAAAAAGGAATTAGCTGGAATTATAGAAGAAATGTGAATAGTTGCAATGCTTTTTCCTTAACCTTTTAGCTGGACATAAAACAAGCTGTTCAAACTGCTTACCATTTGCCTTGTTCATTTATAAACTGCTGAACTGCATATCCAAACTGCTCTCTTGGTGGACCAGAAAATATTTTTGCTTCCAGGAGTCCAACATTGTAGGCTTCACAGCCGTTATGAAGAATGCCTGTTAACAGAAAGATTATGATTATCACAGAAGCAATTAAAGAAGAATTTTGATCCCCTGGAAAAAGGCTCTTCATCTGTGCCAGCTCCCCCAACAGAAGAAAATAAATATAGCCTTTGACACATGCTTGAAAAAAATAGCCTTTTCGTTACAGTACCTTGCCCATGCGTAATGCCTGTCTAGCACTCTTTACATGTGTTATAATACCCTGGGCAATGAATGACTCATTCACTGTTTGCCTTAACAAAGTTGCAGCGTTACTAATGGGAATGTTTTAGCTGAGGAGGGGCAAGATGTATGATTCAGAGGTCTGTTACCCTCCTTTGCCTTAAGGCATAAGTTAAGCTTGTAGCACAGCAAACACATCAATGGCCTGATGAGGTACATTAGAATCACAGAGTCTCGCAGGTTGGACAAGCTCAAGTCCAACCCTTAACCTAGAAGTGCAAAGTCCACCACAAAACCATGTCCCCAAGTGCCACATCTACAGATCTTTTAAATACCTGCAGGGCTGTTGATTACACCACTTCCCTGGGTAGCGTATTCCAATGCTTGACAACCTTTTCCACGAAGGAGTTTTCCTAATATCCACCTAAACCTTCCCTTGCACAATTTGAGGCCATTTCCTCTCATCCTATTGCTTGTTACTTGGGAGAAGAGACCAACCCCCAAGGGGCTACACCCTCATCTCAGGTAGTTGTAGAGAGGGATAAGGCCACCCCTGAGACTCCTCCAGGCTAAACACCCCAGCTCCCTCATCTGCTCCTCATCAAACTTGTGCTCCAGAACCTTCAGCAGCTTTGCTGCCCTTCTACAGACTCGCTCAAGAACCTCAATGTCTTCCTCATAGTGCGGGGCCCAAAACTGAACACAGGATTTGAGGTGTGGCCTCACCAGTGCCCACTACAGGGGGACACATTATTGCTGACGCCATTGGCCTTCCTGGCTACCTGGGCACACTGCTGGCCCATGTTCAGCTGCTGTCAACCAGTATCCTGAAGTCCTTTTCCACTGGGCAACCTTCCAGCTGCTCTTCCCGAGCCTGTAGTGCTGCCTGGAGTTGCTATGATCCAAGTGCAGGGCCCAGCACTTGGCCTTGTTGAACCTCATACCAATGGCACCATTCCATTGATTCAGCCTCTGCAGAGCCTTCCTGCCCTCCAGTAGATCAACACTCCTGCCTAAATTGGTGTCATCTGCAAACTGACTGTGGGTGCATTTGATTCCCTTGTCCAGGTTGTTGATGGAGATATTAAGCAGAACTGGTTCCCAAACTGTTCTGAGCCCTGGAGAACACAACTTGTGACTTCCGCCAGCTGGATGTAGCTCCATTCACCTCAATTCTCCAGGCTCAGAAAAAATGCCCTGACTGTATCAGCTAATACTATTTGTATTCTAGTTTGCAGCACTGGAACAAAAATGAGATTATCTGCTGCATCAGAAAACCTACATTTTTGAGTCATTTCATTATCACGCCAGAAGCCTTTGTTTTCACTCCAAACAGTCTGAACAGTTGTCCAAACAGGAAAACTTAGAAATACAAACATGCAAGGTAGAACAGCATTAATAAGTCATGGCACAATGCTGCAACTCTACTTCACTGTGGTCATGGTATTTATTGCTTTCCTAGCAATAAATGTGTGCCTAGGAAAAAAGGGTATGCTATGCTATGCCATTTTGGAGGGAACCAGCAATGTCGGCTGGGGACTAAGTCCTATGTGTCACAATTTTGTAGGACATGGGGGCCCACTCCTCATTCATAAAGGACCTGATTTCTTTCTGATAAAGAACTGTAGGTAGATATCTAGGAAAATGTCCACTCCAGAAGCTGCAGGAGAAAGGTCAGAGTTCCCTGAAGGACTCTGCTCTGACTAGATAATTCCTTCCCCCACCTTGAAGGTAGAAGGATTGAGACAACACTGGGATCCCAGGAACAAGCTACAGCCCAGCCAAGGAACACGTCAGGACTCCTGACATGGCAATGATGGAAGAAATCATGACCTGTGGTTGCACTGTGCAGCTACTCTCCAAAGTTTCCACGTAATGCAGGTTCACAGAGTTGCTCATGGGTTAAACAACATCCTCATTTTTCCACTCCCTTCCTGTGTGTCTAAGCAGAATGAGTTTTATCTGCTCTATACACAAATGTGCCTCACCACAGTTATTGAGTCATTGTGTAGTAAAGTGGCAGCCTTTTTGATAATCCCTTATAACAGGGGTCCTTTAGGGAGAAATGGCATCTTAAAAATATAAGATCAAATTCTAACTGTTTTTCTAGTTTTAATAGGCAGAGAGCTCTCTGTTGGTATCACTCTCTTCCAGGTCCAAGAAGCAGCTTTGGAACAGAGGTTAACAGGGAATATATCAGCATAAAACAGCCCACCACAGTAGCTTAGCTGTACCAGTAATAATGATACTAACATCACAGTGAAAACACTAAAATCACAACCACAGGTTTGCAGGCAAAGGTCATGACCTGTAAAAAATGGCAATGTATTTTGTACCTTTGCCTATGGAATAGAAAACACAAACGTCACTAGCAGAAGACTAAGTAACAACTCACATTGTTACAACTTTTTTACCACAAACTCAAACCGAGAAATCATATATTAGTTATCTCAAACAACCACTATCTACAGCCGACCTCTGAAACCCAAGAAATCACCTTTTGCTAAAAGTATAGTTCCTTGAGAAGCATCCTTAGAGATAAATATATTTCTGGAGTCATGCTACTTAAGACTGGGGAAGAGAATGTGTACAGACTTATCACTCTGCATTTTGCAAGCCTCTTGACACTAAACACAACCTCACATAATCATATTTTGGGTTTCAGGGAGAGGGAAAGGATGAGTTGAGATAGAAGTTGGCTACTGATAGTTATTATTTTTTGATCTAATATACTATTATCAAAATATTTTGCTCATGTCATATGCTAGGTTTATTTTTTTGTCTGTTAAATTATATTATCCTCAGTCAGAAATCAAACACAATTAGCAGAACCCAATTCCCAAGAGGCCACAGGAGACTATAGAGCAGTGCCATCCTGCCACATAAGTATGGAAGAACTCTCCACATGGTCCATATGGTGGACATGGAAATAAACCCTGGCTTTCAAATGAAGAGAAACATCCTAGAATGATAAACAGTTCCGGTCTGACCCAAAATCCAATGACATCTAGAGAAAAACTCTACACTGTCTGGACTCTCTTACACAGTTACTACCAAATTACACTGCTAGCCAAATGGTAACACTATTGAGTACCTGCTGTCTGAGCGCATTGCCCAAGATCGGTGCAAACACTTGGAAAACATTTCTGATTATGTCCAAGGTGAGAGTTTTGTTAAATGCTACAGGCAGGACAAAATTTTCCTCTAGAACTGGATAAAACTACAGGGACCAACTGTCACAGCCTGAAGGAAAGGCCCATGCTAATTCCAATTCCCCTAGGGTGCTGTGACAAGTCAGATGTGGTCAGCACAACGTGTGCTTAGTTACATGTTGCCTGTTTATCTCCCACCCTGTCCTTCCACAGATGCTGCAGCATCCATCCCTGGACCTCCCAAGGCCACTCTGATGGTCCTGCTTTCTCCAAGATTGGGGCTGATTCCAAGAAGCAAGGACATCGCCTGTCCCAAGCTCCTTGTGGTTCCTCTGGGCTTCATCCCAGCTTACAGAAGGAATGCTCTTTTTCTCTTCCCAGCCTCCCATTCCTTCTACTCACTGAACCATTTTACTCATCCTTCCTATTTACTACTGAGGGTTGATTTTATTCTTTTTAATCATTGAAGCATCAGAACACTTTGAGAGCAAGAAATGTCCACCTGGAATAATGGAAAAGTGTCTGTCAGATCACAGGTCTCTTCAGAAATGGCTCTATTATGTTCACTTTCTGGACAGGCAGCCAGTCAACAACAGTGAAAACAAAAGAGAAAAAAAGAAATCAGAACACCCAGTCTCTGAAGATACACTGTTGTCTGCAATATTTTTATGGATCAGCTTCACCTCTCATTCATGACTTCTTTTCAAAAATCATAGCAGAAATGCTGGCAAATACTCTGACTCAGCATGAACATTTATCAAGTGAACCATAGTTTCCGCACATTTCAATCACACTGTAAATTCCACATTTTTATAATCATCCGCAGTTTTTATAGATCTACTCCACACAAACCTTACTTGGTTTGGGCCTAGCAAGTGTACACTGGCACTAATATACTAGGCATTTTCCTGACATTTTCCTCTATCTTATATAGTGCTTACACTGTTAGAACATCTTTTATCCACTTTGTACAACTGTCTAAATACAGTATCCAAAAAAAGAAATTCAAGCATTTGCAGCAAAAAAAAAAAAAAAAAGGAAGAAAAAAAAGCTGTTTCCTTTAACTCTATTTTAAGCCTGTGCAGAATAAGAGGGTCTCTTATGCAATAAAAGGGTGCCAATCATTGAAGCATCTAGGTTCAAAGTACTGTATATTCTAGCTGGAACGATTCAGAATCTGTTGCTGCCTTCAGACAATGAATTTTGATAATGTAAGAATCTTGAAATAAAGAAAACTAATTCACTATCTGGATTTAAATAGCTTTTGGTGACAGACTACTACTTTGTGACCCAGTGATCATGATGAGATATTAGTTGGGCAAGTAAAAACGCATTTCCTAACTTCTGTCTGTAAATGGCACTTTATTTACAGTCAAGTAAACAGACCGTGTGGAACAAAGGAAGCCAAATACAAACCTAAAGCTTATGAAAGCCTCCCTAAAGACTTCAAAAGCAACAGTTCTTCTCCAGTTACTGGGAAGGGGGCTTGGGCACTTTGATTTGCAAAGAGGACACCTTCATCCAGCCGAGCAGCTCCCAACATCAAGCTTCAGACAGGAAAAATAAGAAAAAAGTCCTAATGGGATAAAAGAAACTGTAAGCTTTCTAAAATACTCCAGTATCTCTTGGCATAGCACTTTTTCCCTGGGAGTTCCCGTATTTCAGCATATGCATTATTGCAGTGTAAGCCATAGGAGCTGCCATGTAGGAGTATTGCTGGTTTTGTACTTCTGCACTGGGATGTTCTTGCTCCTAACAGGATGAAAAGTAATACATGTTATGACTGGGCACCTTTAAACCTCAGCATGTGGGAATTCTTCTTTAACTATAAATGACACATCTAATGATAACTCTAATGCCTTCTGTTTGCTTTATTCTGTTTGTAGTACAAGCTGAAGCAAGTTTTATTGAAGTAAAAGCTCATATTAGGTACACCCAGTTCATAATTGTTTTGATTTTGTAAGCAAAGCTCACAGCTTAAAGTGACCAAGCAGAAAACGTATGTTTGGTAACCAGTTGCTTACTGTCATCATTATAATAGCTGTCTGACTGAAACCCCTTATTCAGATTAACCAGTATATAAAAAAAAGAAGATTTTCAACTGGGTGAGAAAAAATGAAATCAGATTTTTAGGTGTTTGATTATGTGGTTAGTGAACTAAGTTTATAAAATTCTAATAAAATATACTGAACATATTATTAACCTGTATTTTGTATCATAAGGGTCATAATAAATGTGTCATTTTGTTTTTAGCCTACATCACTTTTTACTACATTGCAAAGGTAGTTTGCAATTCCAATTTAAGATGGCAGTATATCACAGAACACCATAATCAGACAGACTCAGTTATTCAGTTATGCCAAGTCTCACCTCTCATTACACTATCCAGTCAAACAGAGGCTTTCACTGCTGTTGTTATTTACAGCTTGCATCAAACAGGTCTAGCAATCACAGTATCAAGAAAAAAGAAGACTTTGCCTGCTGATTCACCACACACTAAGTATTAGCTTTATCTAATATTAACCTTGCCAGTTGGAAACTTCATCACCTTTTTTCCGTTAAACAGTATGGTGTTCACTTCTTTAAACAACTATTAGCTAACACAGGAAAAAGTTTGTTATATAACCCAGCAAAGTGACCATTTGTCTTTTTGCATGACCATTCATGCCAGTAATGATGCCAGGAGAGCATCACTGGCTGCTCCCTCTGCTCCATGGCACAGCCAGAGCTACAACCACTGGTCCTTGTGCCACCTCCAACAGGACAGCAGACCCTGAGATCCAAACTTAAAAGTCATAGGCATGCTGAGGGATTTACAGGTGGAAAGGGATAAGCATGTAGTCAATAACGAAAAGCAAGGCCATGACCTGGCATTATGACAAAACCATGACAGTAGTATGTGCATTTTTGCATGGGTTTTTTAATCCGTAAATTTTTTTGGGGGGGTGGGGAGGGAAAAGTCAAGAAAACCCCACTGTTTCCTGAAGTAGTTTCTTAGATTGGCAGCCAGTAAAATGTGTACAGCCAACACTGACTTAATTGCTCAGTATAGCATTTTTTAAAGTACCTATTCATTCCAGAAGAGGGCTTTACTTTGCCCCTTACATTATACTGCTCTAAGAAAGCCACTTACAAATTCCAGAGAGAAAATTTTCCCCTTGGTCTCAAAGATTTCTACCTCCAAAGAACACACATCAGCAGGGCCCTGAAGCCTGTCAGACCATGCTGAGTGCAGAGAAAAGAAAAGGGTGGGCGGGATGAGAGAACTCGTAGCTCTTATTTTCCATTGACTTCACCTCACAATGGATGCATACTCTAGTTCAAGCTTTCTCCATGACTGAAATATTTCTAAGGGCTCTCTTTGGGGTACATTTTCTGGTATTTTTGATTGTGCAAGGTCACATAGGATCTTCTTAGTTGTCAGGGAATTTGTAAAAAACACTTTTTTCTCACTCTGACACCCAGCTGGTTATTTTTTTCATCCCTCTGCAAAAGTTTTCTGAAATTGGCTCTCAGGTTCCAAAGTTAGTAAGGCAGTACAGGCACCTACAGATACCCTTCCCACTATAATCACCTACTGTCCTTGAAGTATTAGTTAGAAGGTGGAATGAAGGCAGGAAGGGAAAGTACTAAAGTTCTGAAAGAGGGCAGTCAAGTAGTATGTGCTTCATATGAATGATATTTAATCTTACTTTGCTAGTTTTTTATTAAATGGTAATGACATTTTGGTGTAAGAGTGAAGTTACTCCCTTACTATTTAGAACCTATGTTATTAGAGCAATAATCCAAACAGAATTAGTCAACTATTCTCACAGAAAGACCTATCCGTAATTTGAACAATTTTCATAATACACTGTTTTGAATGCTTTATTGACAAGACTGTGAATACATAAAGAACAAAACAAGCAGCATGCAGTTACTTTAATCTATTGAATTGTAATAAGGATGTTCTTCATTGTGGCTTTCAGAAGCCACTGAACAATTTTCACCTGCACAAAACCCCCACACAACTCTTTTTTTCCATTTTGTTACTTTTTTAGTCTCCAGTTTAATCTGCTTTACTGTATTGGGATGTGCATTGTCTGCATGCACAGGTAAGGGCATCAAGTTCTCATGTAAAACAAGCAATTCTATACTGGTTGCATTGTCTGGGACTTTTCTGCAAATGAACATAAGCATAAAGCACCTTTTTCATCTATGTCTAGTATACTCAGTCATGGCTAGGTGAAATCCAAATAAATAAAGCACTATTTATAATTCAATCTGCAAAGGTGTATTACCCTTTACCCAGTACAGACACATAACAAGATATTCTGTCATTAGTTTTCTCCTTTATATTTACTTCTCTATTTTTTGTAATAATTTTTTTCTTCAGTATGCACAACCACATCAGGAAATGCTCACAATGGCATCTAGATAGATACCTTCAGCTGGTGTATTAAAACAGCAGTTTTATAATCAGTTAATCTGTTTTTATTTAAAATTGACTAGATTTCTTATTGAGAACAACCTTCTAAATACAGACATGTGAACCTCTGACAAGAATCAAAAGGAGCAAAGAATAGGACTGGCAAGACGCTGTACTTTTTCTACTGAATGTCGAAGTACTTTATAATCCTCACTTCAATTTCATTATTGTTATTTCATTATTATGAACTATTACAGAAGCCTGAAGAAAACAAGTCTTCATTTTACTACTTCAGCTATTTGCTTTATTTTCTTTTATCTTGAGACCAACTTTTTCTTCATAACAGCTTCAATATCTCAAACTACTTAATAATTAACAGAAATTATAGTATTTAGAGTAGAAATAAATTATAAAGAAAAAAACCCCACCAAACCCACAAACAAGAAACAAAACCCAGTACCCAGAAGACAAGAAAAACAATGCCTCATTTAGGAACAAATCCTCCCTCCTATCCCTCTTCCTCCCCTCCTTTCCAACAAGTTTTCTTGGCTTAGTTGGCCGACTGCTTCTTCCTGGAAATAGGTCAGCTACCAGCCTGAAAGCTCTGAGTGTGTAAAAGCCTGAGTCACTGCCTTTCAATTATAACAATTCATAATGCAAGAAACTGCACCGGGGATTTATCAATAACCTGCTACAAAAGCAACACAAACGTGATATAAAACACAAATTGTTACTGGAAAGTTGGAAAGACTGGGATTACACAACTAGATGCTGTCCATTTTATTCTTCTGATACTGCTGCAGAGTAAGATATCTAATTAAATTTACCCATAACTTCATTAGTTATTCTGCAAGACTTGTCTTTCTCCTGATAACTCCCTATTTGTGGCCCAGATATTGCCCTTCTTGGCTTTGAGAGCAGACATATAAACTCCTCTTCATCTGGAATTAAGATTCTAGGCAACCTACTATGCACACAAGGACTGATTCCAAGTAAAAGCTTAGGAGCAGTTCCTGCAGGACTGACAACTTCCTATGAGTTTATTTTTAATAAAGACAGCAAGTATTCAAACCGACTTGAATTTATTATCCTGGCATGTTTCCATTCATGCTATCAATGGGAAAAACATTATTTTACAGAACACTCACATAAACTACATCTTTTAAAGAGGACATGCAGTTTTCCTTTTATTATGGTATAAACAGAATTGTTGAACTCTGTCCTTACAGTACCACAATTTGTTCTCAACAATACCACAAAGAGATTAAAAGTATGTGAGGTTAGCATGTCCACACATGCATATTATATATATAGTTAAGTCAATGGCTTCACAAGTAATGATGATAAATACAAAAAACTTTGCATGCTTCCCTATGATAAATAAATTACTTCTCAAGTGGCATTTCACTCCAGAAAATTCTCTTTTCTCATATTCACATTAACAGTGGTTGTGCTGTCTCTTTTTTAAACCAGGAATATTTCCAAATATAGTCAGAGAAGAATGAACCACATTACAACTAGAAGAGAGGAAATGCATGTCATCACAGAGAAAACAATGTGGCTGCTATCTGTATACCCTATATGCCACATTTGCTATGAAAACGTATTTGCACACAGATAACAAGGCATGTTTTCACACAAGTATCAAGAAGATGGGAAAGCAACCACAAGTGCCTTGTACTTCTCTCCCCATATCATACACAATGAAAATTTCAGTGCATTGTAACATTATATTGTGTATTATTTCACGTTATATCACTGTTAAATACGACCTGAAAGGATAAATTAGAAAAAAGCTGATGGACTCTTCATCACCACTGATCCCTCTGTCACTCCAGTGTGGCAGCCTGCAGCGTGAGGACTGGAGCGGTTCCAGAGTGACCCTACCTACACGCCATTTTTAGGACACCATGTTTAAAGACCCCATTTCTCCCTCACAGCTTCGGAATCTAGTTGGGAACTCAGCTTTCTGCACTGTACACAGAGAGCTACAGAAATAAGAACAGCCACAGCTGTAAAATGTTTGCCACATCAGCTTCCTGCCAGAAGAAAACCTCCAAAGCACCACAGGATATATAATACAATACTTGGAAGAGCTATAATTATCAGAACATTTGCTCTCCTATATCAGAATTAATGACAGCTTCTCTCTGTCTGATTGTAATGGGAGCTCATCACTGGGCATCCTGAATGTTAAGCAGGTGGTGCCAATCGCTTACCTGGAATTCCACCTTAACGCACACTGAAATGATCAGTTGTAGCACCATATGCCTAGGCAGAATTTGGGCTCATTAAAATCAGGTAAACAATCCAGGAAGCTCGGACTTGGGAGCTGCCTAGGCCAGAATGAACTTAAAATTACCTGTCACGTAGGTTTCATAGCACAAAGTTGCACAAAGGTTTAGAATATGAATCAGATATAGAAGCAGCCCTCTTCCAGAGCAAGGTATCCTACCCTACTGTTAATCCATTCTGATATAATGGCAAAAGGCAATGAATACTTCTCAATGTAATTATTTCTACTTGAAACAACTAAATTATTTAAGTAAATAGCTAAGTAACTTCTTTTTATGCAGTCCCAGTTTACCAAATGTGAATTAAATGGGCAGTCAGTGCAAATCAGCCAACTTAATACTCTTCTCCTCTCAGCTAAGTGCCCCAGGCATTAGGCCTCAGGCAAGATGCATCTTTGCCTGTCTGTCTGAAAACATGGATATGCTTCCCGGGATGAGCTAAGACCCA